GTAAATGTAAAGATGAAAATTATAAAAGATTTTATAAAAGGAATTGATAAGTTGTTTGAAAAAAGAAAGAAGAAGATTTAAAAAATAAAAAAGGGAGAGAATGTGATCAGGCAGGAGACTAGAACAAAGCCATACACTAGTGATTTAGGGTATATTTTGATCTGTTAGAAGAAACTGTATCTCAAAATTTTAAAGAGAGAACAACTTATATATATATATGCCAAAAATAAGGGTAACTACTATGAAGGGATAAAATGACTCTAAAAATGAAAAATAAAAAATGTTTTTTTAAAAAAGGGATTGATAAGATGTTGGTTGAAAAAGGGAAAAAGAAAAATTAAAAAAAAAGTTAAAAAAATTAACTTTGATGAACTAATGAATCATGGTAAAGAAAAGCCATGAATCCTATGTGCAGTATTCCCCAACGCTGGAGTTCTCCTGTTCTCCTTGATCAGTAAACTTGGTCTTGGCTTGCTGGCTGTTCGTGCTGATCTTCTGGGGGAGGAGCCTATTGCCGTGGTTCTCCAATGTCTTTGCCCAAGGCGAAATTGCCCCGCCCTTGTAGGTCCGGGCTAAGCAAGCTGCTCGGGTTTGCTCTCAGGAGCTTTTGTTCCCTGCAAGCTGTCGGCACAGCTCTGGAACCAGGGTGAAAATGGTGGCCTCCCAATCTCCACCCAGAGGAGCTGAGAACTCGGGGCCCCGCTCCTCAGTGCACCCGCAGAGAAACGCAGTCAATCACTCCCGTCTCCCCGGTCTCCGGCCGCACTCCGTGCTCACCCGGCCTGTGACCGAGCGTTTCTATCTCTGGCACCCAACCCTGTGTGGAGTCTCCAAACCCAGCAGATCCTGCAGTGAGCTCCCGTCCCGCTCCTCCCCGGGGGAGGAAGGGGAGTCTCCCCGGCTCTGCCGCTTGTTGGGTCCCTGCCGGAGGAGCAGTGGCCCGACTGGGCTGCGGATCACGGTTTATGGCAACCCCAAGTGGAGAGCCCGCTCCTCGGCTCTGTCTCTGCAGCCGGTTTCCCCGCTCCGATACCTGGGAGCTCTGCCGCACTCAGGCACCCCCAGTCTTTCTGTGATCCCAAGGGTCCTGAGACCACACTGTCCCGGGAGGATTCCATCCCCCGCTTAGCCACTGGAGCGACGTCCCTCAGCGGAGCCGACTTCTAAATGGTCCGATTTTGTGCTCCGCGGCTCTATCACTTGCCAGAAGCGGCCGACGGAGGCCCCCTCCCCCGCCGTCTATCCTCCCGAATATCGCCTCGGATTCACTTCTCCGCACGTCCTACCTTCCAGAAAGTGGTCGCTTCTCTGTTCAGAGAGTTGTTACTACTCTCATCTTCGATCTCCTGTTGAGTTCGTAGGTGTTCAGAATGGTTTGATCCCTATTCAGTTGAATTCCTGAGACCAGACGAAATCCAGGTCTCCTACTCCTCCGTCATCTTGCTCCGCCCCCTCTCCCTACATGTTCTTAATGGAGTAACCCTTTTATCATTATGAAATATCCTTCTTTGTCCCTAATAACAATTTTTGTCTTGAAGTTTATTTTTTCTAATATTAGTAACGCCACTCCAACTGTCTTTTAGTTACTGTTTGCATGGTATTTTTCTCCCATCCTTTTATTTACAACCTCTTTGTGTCTTTGAATCTAAAGCATGTCTCTTATAGACAGTACATAGTGGATCATGTTTTTAAATCCATTTTGCCAATCTCTGCCTTTAATTTGGAGTATTTAATTCATTTATATTTAATTACTGATAAAGCATTTATGTTTGCCATTTTGCTACTTGTTTTGTATGTGTCTTATTTTTTGTTCCTCTTTTTTTATGACTACTTTTTTTTTTGTTATATTCTTTCTAGTATACCATTCTAATTTCCTTGTCATTATTTTTACTATATATTTGAGTTATTTTTTTAATAGTTCCCCTAGGGATTACAATTATCATCTTAATTTTTAACAGGGTAGTTTGGATTAATACCAACTTAATTTCAGTACTATCATGAAACTCTGCTTCATTTCCTACTCCCTCCTTTGCACTGTTATTGTCATACAAATTACATTTTGATATGCTTTGTGCCAATCAACAGATTTATGATTATTCATACAGTTGTGTTTTAATCAGATGGAAGAAAAGAATTTAAAAATACATTTATACTGTCTTTTATATTTACCTATGTAGTTATCTTTCTGTTTCTCTTTATTTTTTATGGATTTAACTTACTGCCCAGTGTCCTTTTATCTCAGCCTGAAGCACTGTCTTTATTATTCCTTATACAGCAAGTATGCTGGTGATGAATTTTCTGTTTTTGTTTATCTGCTGATGTCTTACTTTCTTTTTCAATTTTAAACAGTAGCTGTGTTGGTTATAGAATTCTTGGTTGATAGTCTTCTTTCTTTCAGCACTTTATGTCATCCTACTGCCTTTTGGCCTTTATTGTTCTTTAATGACAAATCAGCTGTTAGTCTTACTGAGATCCCTTGTATGCGATGAATCACTTTTCACTTGCTGCTTTTAAGATTCTCTTTTTGTCTTTGGATTTTGACAGTTTGATGATGTGTCTAGTCAATCTCTATTACTTTATTGGAGCTCACTGAGTTTCTTGAATGTGCAGATGAATGTTTTTCATCAAATTTTGGAGGCTTTTGTCTATTATTTCTGCAAAAATATTTTCTGCCTCTGTCTTCTTTTTATAGGATTGCCAGTATGCATATGTTGGTATGTTTGATGGTTCCATAGGTTTCTGAGACTCTGTTCATTTTTCTTTATTCTTTTTCCTTCTGTGCCATGGCCTGGATAACCTCAACTGACTTGTCTTCAAATTCAGTGGTTATTTCTTCTGCCAGTTCAAGTCTGCTATTGAAATCCTTTAGTGAATATTGCACTTCAGTTACTGTACTTTTTAACTCCAGAATTTCTTTTTACCTTTTATAATATCTATCTCCATTAACATTCTCTATTCAGTGAGGCATTATTCTTTTCTCTAATTCTTTAAAAAAATTTATTCATTTATTTGAGAGAGAGAACAAGAAACACAAGCAGGGGGAGCGGCTGAGGGAAAGGAAGAAGCAGGCTCCCCACTGATCAGGGAGCCTGATGTGGGGCTTGATCCCAGGACCCTAGGATGATGACCTGAGCCAAAGGCAGATGCTTAACCAACTGAGCCACCCAGGAGCCCCTATACTTTAATTCTTTAGACATGATTTCCTTTAGTTCTTTGAACATATTTATAATAGCTGATTTAAAGTCTTTGTCTACTGGAGCTCCTGGGTGGCTCAGTTGGTTGGGCGACTGCCTTTGGCTCAGGTCATGATCCCGAGTCCCGGGATCGAGTCCCACATCGGGCTCCCTGCTTAGCAGAGAGTCTGCTTCTCCCTCTGACCCTCCCCTTCTTGTGGTCTCTCTCTCTCTCATTCTCTCTCTCAAATAAATAAATAAAATCTTAAAAAAAAGAAAAAGAAAGTCTTTGTCTACTAAGTCCTCTTCCTTAGGGATGGTTTCTGTTGATTTCCTCTCCCCCACTGTGTATGAGCCATACTTTCCTGTTTCTTTTTGTGTCTCCTAAACTTTGCTGAAAACTGGACATTTTAAATAATATAATCTGGCAACTGTAGAATTAGATTCCTCCCCTTTCCCAAGGAGGGGGAAGGGCAGAGGGAGAGAGAGAATCTCACGCAGACTCTGTGCTAAGCATGGAGCCTGACATGGGGCTCTGTCTCACAACCCTGAGATCATGACTGGAGCTAAAACCAAGAGTCAAATGCTTAACTGACTGAACCACGCAGGCACCCCTGAGCAGACAGATTTCTTGAGCCAATAAGTCTGTCAGCTTTTTCTGACACTGTGTGTGTGTGTGTGTGTGCATGCATGCATGTGTGCACATGCATGTCTGTTTTGGGACATGTGCCTAATGCTTCTGCAGACAGCTTACAACTCTGTCTTAACCTTCACTTCCCGCTTGAGAAGAGCCTCGAAGTTAGCTAGAGATGAGATAATAGGGTCTTTTCAAGTCTTTCCCAGGCATATGTACAGTGCTATACATGAAACTGGCCTGGTACATTCCAAAGAACATTTTGGAGCTTTTCAAATCTCCCCGTGGACATCTCATTTCCTTTTTTTTTTTCCTTCAAGTTTTTTCGTTAGGCTTTTGTTAGCTCCAATTGGTATTGCTGCCTTTGGTAGCTGTGATGTTAAATAATTGCTGCTGATTGTTTTCAACAAATGCCCTAAGGGTAAGGTTATTATCATAGAGCAAGCTCTGAGTATGGCAAAGTCAAGTCAAGGCCTGGGAATGGAGCTTTACAGGCAACTTTCAGACAGTACTCTGGAGATGAGACTTTGGGGAGCTTCAAACCTGTTTTGCCTCCACTCCCTTCACTGCCCAGTGAACTGATTGTTTTCACAGCTACTATAGTTGTGCATCTCTTGGTTTTCAAGGCCACTGATGAGCTGGGAAGAGTGGGATGGGAATAGGATAAATTAAAACCGCAAAAAGTTTACTGTTTTTACTGATATTCAGCCATTTTTCTTGATTGGATGCGTCTTGGAACATTGCGAGTCTTTGTTAATTTTCAGAGTTTGGAAAAAGTGGATTTCGATATTTTTTTTTTTGCCAGTATTTCATTGCTTTTATGGAAGTAGAGATCTTCAGAGGTCCTACCTATAAAATTGCTTTAGAGTACTTTTTAAAGATGGGATTGGGAAAAATACTAGTGACCTGAGGGAACTTTCAGGAAAGGTGAGCAGATTATTATTTTTATACAAATTATGTGTTATCTATATATTTCATAATATATTTATAAAAATATATAAGGTATATATGTTTTAATACAAATTATTATATTATCCAAAGACAATTATTTGGAATAACATACAAATAGGGTTGTATTCCAGATGGGATTTTTTAGAAGTTTAGACGCTTATGGGAGCTTTACTGAATAGAAAAGTGAGAAGAGTTCATCAGTCTCAAAAGTTTTCTTTTTCTCTTTCATTTTGCTATTTTAGGTGTACAGAGCCAATGGACCAGATGGAACCATTGGCAGAGGTCAGAGAATCCACCTGCAATTATGGGACACAGCAGGGCAGGAGAGGTATGAGATCTTCAGTTATGTGTTCCTTACTGGAGGAAAGGGAACACCAGCTATGCCCTTCACACAGTACCTGAGCAGGAAAAGGCCAGCTGATTAGTTGACTTGCATCTAGATAAGACATGCTGCTAAATTAGCAGGAAATTTATCAGTCTGAAATGATAATGGTGTCTGTTTCATACAAGGTCAAAGGAAAAATGAATCCTTTTCAAAATAGACTAGCTTACTTATGAAGTTTTTACTTCTTCCTTCTTTTTCCTCCTCCTCCTCCTTGCTTTGTCTTTCCTCCTCCTTCTTCATTTTTCTTCTTGTTCTTGTTCTTCTTGTTCTTTAAGATTTATACACTTTTCTCCATTTACTTTCGCTATTTACACAGCCACAAAGACAACTGCAGAATTACATGCATTATTCTTGCCTGATTATGGAAACCTCACAGAAAATCTGATTGGAATTAACTCATATGGTTAGAAGTTGCTTGATCAAAATAAGTCACGTGAAATCTTTTTTTTTTTTTAAGATTTTATTTATTTATTCATGAGAGACAGAGGGAGAGAGAGAGCGAGCGAGAAGCAGAGGGAGAGGCAGGCTCCCAAGGAGCAGGGAGCCTGATGCGGGACTCGATCCCAGAACCCTGGCATCATGACCTGAGCCGAAGGCAGACGCCCAACCATCTGAGCCACCCAGGCGCCCCAGTCACATGAAATCTTGATATAAAATTCCTTTTAGTTATAGCTGCTGTTTTCTCTCACAGTTTCTTTGGAGTATTCTGTTTGGTTTTTATTTTTTAAAAGATTTACTTATTTGAGAGAGAGCAAGCCAGGGTGAGGGAGGGGCAGAGGGAGAGGGAGAGAAAAACTTTAGCAAACTCCCCACTGAGTGTGGAGGCTGACTCGGGGTTCAGTCTCACGATCCTGAGATCATGACCTGAGCGAAAACCAAGAGTCAGACGCTTAATCGACTGAGCCACCCAGGCGCCCCTGAAGTGTTCTGTTTTTTAACTTTTTATTATGAAAATCTTGAAATATATACTACAGAGGATAGTATAATAAAATCATGTACATATTTCCCAGTTTCAGTAGTCATCAATTTGTAGCCTATCTTATTTCATGTATACCTCTATCCCTTCTTACCCCCTCCCCCAAATTATTTTATTTTTATTTATTTTTTAAAGATTTTGATTTATTTATTTCACAGAGACACAGCGAGAGAGGGAACACAAGCAGGGGGAGTGGGAGAGGGAGAAGCAGGCTCCCTGTAGAACAGGGAGCCCAAAACCCCAAATTATTTTAAAGCAAACTCCATTTATCAGATATTTTCATTTATAATTACGTTGGTATGTATTCCTAAAGGGTAAGGACTCTTCTTGTAAAAACACTGATTAGAAATATTTGAGAAAACTTAAAAAACAGATTAGATGACAAGTTCATACCAGTATTTTCTTCCCTGGAATCTATGCCTGTCAGTTGCAGACTTTACATAAAAACAAAATAAAGTGGAAACTGACCTTTAGAGGGAGAGAGAGGGGAGACAGCAGGATAAAGCCTTGGAAGAGAGAGTACCAAGGAAGGATAAGACTAAGTCCATACTACTCCCATCTTAAAGCCAAAGAAATGGTTATCAGAGTTATGAGACCTCTTCAGAGACTAAAATTAAAAGGTCATGGACCCCATTGTAACAGCAAGTCAAGCTGAACTTTCTAGGGACAAAGAAAACATACACAGCAAGAACCATTGCTTTGGGCCTAATTAAGTAAATTCTTGACTGAGACTAAGGGATCATGAGCTAGTTCTTGTGATCCCTGTCCAGCAGTCTGATTTTTCAAATCACATGGTCCATTAACATATAAACTTATGTAAGTGATAAATAAGCGTCTTATATACTTTTGGAATATCATCATCCAATTTGTTTTTTTTAATTTTTAAAAATTTACAGAGATTGTTTTTATTTTATTTATTTTTATTCCGGTATAATTAACGTACAGTGTTATATTAGTCTCAGGTGTACAGTAGAGTGACTCCACAGCTCCATACATTTCTCAGTGCTCATCATAAGTGTACTCTTAATCCCCTTTATATATTTCGCCCTTCCCCACCCCCCACCTCCCTTCTGGTAGCCATCAGTTTGTTCTCTGTAAGATTGAATTCCAAATATAACTTGATAATTGTTGGTGTTTTATAAGGTCTCAGTATATTTTCAGGTATTCTTTGTGGCTCTAGATATCTATTTGATAGCATAATTTCCTAAATCTTATGTAATTAAGAGATACAATATGCGTATATAATGTGAAGTTATTAGAAACAATGGCACATTATTAAATAATTTGTTATTGATGAATTATTGGAAGAGGCCGAGGGCACTATTGGTAGTTTTATATTTCAGGAGTGGGGCCATGATTTAGGTGACCAATCTGCTTTTATGTTCCTAGGTTTCGTAGCTTGACAACAGCATTCTTCAGAGATGCTATGGGGTTTCTTCTGCTTTTTGATCTGACAAATGAGCAAAGTTTCCTCAATGTCAGAAACTGGATAAGTAAGTGCTGTTGTTTCCCTGTCTCCCACTCCCCCTTCCCACAATACAGTGCTCTCTGAAATTCTACTTCTGTTTAAGTTGTTTTGGAGGAGCTCCTAGTACTATTAAAAATGCTGTTAAAAGGAGCAAGGTTTTACTTTGGGGGCAAAGATTACTGAAATAGTCTGCTTTTCCTAGTAATACTAACTTTGGTTTGTTGGGTACTTCTTATCCTGTAGGCACGTGGCAGCACTTTACGTGTGGAAAACAGAGGATGCTCTTATCCCCATTTTATAGATAAGGAAACAGAAGCCCAGAAAAGTTAAATCTCTAAGTATCTGTTTGCCTATTGTATGCTATCAGGATTCATATCATCCAGGGTTTAATACATCTATTATATAGACATAAATATCTTTTGAAGACTTAGTAGATCATACCCCTGGCTCCATGTCTCTTCTGTACTCAGAGCTTCCTTTTCTCCTTTTAAGGCCAGAGCAGTTGCCAGAAGGATCCCATCATGGAAGATTCTAAAATTACACTGGCAAAAGTGGTCCCCAACACTATACATGCACACACACACCCTCATCTTGGCTCTTTGGAGAGATCTTAATCTCTTAAATGGTTGGTTAGCAGCCACTTAAAATCCTGCCACTTCATCAAATGACAATTTGCAAAAGTACACATTTCTCTATTAGTTGTATTAGTGCAAACCTAGAGAATCTATTGGGGAAGGCTGTGATGTTAAATTCTTAACATCCAAATCCTTAAAATGAAAATACTTATTAAAAATACCTACTATTTAAAAATAACTTGGTGTTTTGGTATTACGAAGGGGTCATTGGCTGTGGTTTTGATAGTAGAAAACCTTATTTTTAAGGAGTTTTTAAATAAGTAATTTATATGGTGCATCGTGATTTTTCAAAGCATTTTCACATACTTTGTAGTTGATCCTCACAAGCACCCTGGGTGCAGATTCAGACAGGTGGTGTGTCTTTATTTTAGGATGAGGACTCTGGGCCTTGAAGAGTAGTCCTGTCCTTCTTGGAGGACATGGAGTTTGGCTTTCTGTTCAGTAGCCTTTTATGCTCTTTCTTAACTAAGTTGATCATTATGGGCTGAAGAGCTATTTAATACTTTAAGTATAGGTTCCTCAAATTTAGTTATGCTCACTGGGCTTCACTTTGTTAAATGCCTGTGTTGCACACCTCATTATTTCGATTAAAGCTGAATGATAGTGGCTATTTCTAGTGCTTTATCCTCAGCCCTTGCTCATCATCCTCTTCTTTGTATCATTGTAACAAGTTCTGAGGCTTTAAGTCAAACACTGTAAGACTCTTATTAGAGATGTGCTCATAGAATCTCAGCATTGAGAGATCATCAACCCACCTGTTTTCACAGATAGAAATGGAAACTCTGAGACAGATAAATCTTGCCTTCCCATCAAATGGAAACTCTGAGACAGATAAACTTTTTAGCTGATTAGATAAATAACAAAATTATGTGAAATTATATGTAATGTATGCATTTTATTTTGTTATCCTTATAGTGTAAAAGAATTCTTATCGTGCAATTAGGTAGAGAAAATTTATGCATTTTGCAGATTTCATATCTTCAATGGAAAGTATTCTCCCCCAACCCGCCTTTAAAAAAAAAAAAAAAAAGTTAGTGTTCAGTATCAGAGATAATAATATCAAATCTTAATTAAGAATAACAATTGTCTATACATTTTATTTTTCCTCTGCTTATTAGCATTTTGAATATTACAGGGATTATTCATTTCTTCTTTTTTTGTGGAAACAAAGGCACTGTCGCCTCTTAAACAAGTAGCTGACTCCTGGGCCCTGACTGGCCTGGGGGAGAGGAGAGCAGGTCTGCACCTTCCTTTTAGCTTCTCCAGAGCTGCCCTGGCAGTCAGTTCTCTCTTGACTCCAAAGCTCTCCATGCCCCTTGGGAAGGTGATACATGCAAGTTCAAAGGTGAGCCCTGCTGAATTCAGAAGACGGAACAGAGAGCTGAGTCTTCTCTGCCTAAATCTGATATCTGAAAGGAATCAGGTAGTGTTGTATTTACTTATCTGTCTTCCTAGAGCTCAGAGAATGGACAAGTCATGCCCATAGTTATTCCTCGAGTGGCAGCCTGTTTTGTAAAGAAACTTTAAAGTAGCCTGAATTTCTAAACATTGTTTCTGTAGCCTCACATGAGTGGTATAAAAGCACAACAGGTATATATTTTACACGTTTTTGCCTGTATGTTTTTATTCCTATTATTCTGCCTGTCTGAAGAGCAGTCCCCACACCCACTCCCTCCACACCCACCCCCTTTTTAAAACTGGGTAGAGTTCTACTTATTCTTTAAAATCTGGCAAATTATGGGCTCCATGAAATTTTCTGTAACTGTTGTTGGATTAAATGTTTTCCTTCCTCGTAACTGCTATTATATTTTGTACTACCTATAGGATTTTTAGCACATACCACCCTGGGTTGTAGTAGTTATTTATGTATGTGTCTTTTTCTTAGTGAGATTTTTTTAAAGAATTGGTTAATTTACTTTTTAAATAAGTAATTCAGTCTTTGTAGAAAAATTAGGAAGGAAGAAATAAAAGGAAAAATCACCAATAATCACACTTCCCGGAGTCTCCAAAATAAATACTAGTAAACGTCATTAATGGTAATATTTACATAGCACTTCTAAATACTTTAACATATTAATTTGGTGGTTCTCAAGTAGGAGTGTGCATCTGGATCACCCAGGGAGCTTGTTAAAACACAGATTCTGGGCTCCATATCCAGCATTCCTGATTCAGTAGATCTGGGGTGGAACCTGAGATTTTGCATTTCTAACAAGTTCCCTGGTGAGGGTAAGGCCCGTGGACCTTACCTGGAGAATCACTGAATTAACTCACTTAATCCACACCTTAACCCTGTGAAGTAAGTACCCTCATTATTAACATTTACAGATGGGGAAACAACTTTCTCAGGGCCACACAGCTAGTAAACAGCAGAGCCAGGGTTCGGTCTTGGACACAGTTGGTTCTGAGTTCATGCTCATAATCATGACACTGGACATATATGGGGTTAATAGAGCACAGAGCCACTCTGGAGACCAGAAAGGTTTCACTGTAGAGGTAACTGTAACTGAGAGGCAAGTCTTAAAAGAAGGGGTGGGGATTCCTGGAAGGAAGGTTGTCGTTGGGTATTCAAGCACATGGGGACAGCATGTGTACCAGCCTGGAGAAAAGAAAGCACATGGCAGTTATTGGAAACCTACACAGTTTGGTTTTGCCATTGCAGGCCTTGTTCCCCGGTTGTCCCTTGAGGGCAAAGGTCAGGGTCCTGAAATTCTGCACCAAGTATCTGGCCTATGTTAATAATCAGTGAATGCTTGCTGATTAGATTTTCTCTTGATAAGATATAATGAACATGACTTTGTAATGAGGAACTAAAATGTCAACAGTTTTTTGGTTAACCATGATAAAAATAAATTAGGCCATACCAACTTTGAGCTATGTCTTATTGTGAAAGTTTGGGCTGCTTTAATTTTATTATGGGGTGTGATGAATACTTCTTTGGGAGGTTAAACTATTTAACTTAGTGAAGCTCTTTCTGTTTAATTGCTGTTTTTTAAAAAAAAGATTTTATTTATTTATTTGACAGAGACACAGCAAGAGAGGGAACACAAGCAGGGGGGAGTGGGAGAGGGAGAAGCAGGCTTCCTGCGGAGCCGGGAGCCCGATGTGGGACTCGATCCCAGGACCCTGGGATCATGACCTGAGCCGAAGGCAGTGGCTTAATGACTGAGCCACCCAGGCACCCCTGTTAAATTGCTTTTTAAAAAAAGTGTGCCTATTTACAGGTTTTCAGGTGAAAAGAAATAAAAGCTGTGGAATAAGAATTGTAGTCTTCTGCTTCCCCTTAGTTCTGGTGACAGAGTCATTTCCTATTTATTCTATGTTTTCTCTCATTTAATCATATATCTTTCTTATTTAAATTGAATTGGTTCTGCCTTAGGATAAGAGAAAAATGTGAAAACATTTCAGATGAAACAAGCTAGTTCATAGGAAGACAGTTCTTTTAAAAATATTGCTATGGGGAGACACTATACGAAAAACAGCTTTATGATTAGCAATAAGAACTAAAAATTCTCCAAGTTTTTTTCAAATGGCCTTCAATAGAAAGATAACCACAGGTGTGTGTGTAAATGGTCATTCACATTCACACGTGCACTTTTGGAGGGTTAGCAAATTCTCCTATTCCTCTCTGATATAAATAAGGTGGGATGTGTGCTTAAAGATAATTTTACATCTCTGTCCCATCCATTCAGTTTTACAGATTAGGTTATTGATGCTTTGAAAGCATTCTATCATTTCCTTATGTCCATACATCCACTTAGAGTTTCCAGAGCACTTTTGCGTATATTCTCCATTGATCACACACATATTATTTACCTATAATAATTTTTCTTACAGGCCAGCTACAAATGCATGCGTATTGTGAAAACCCAGATATAGTGTTATGTGGAAATAAGAGTGATTTGGAAGACCAGAGAGTAGTAAAAGAGGAGGAAGCAAGAGGACTTGCAGAGAAATATGGGTGAGTTACTTTTGTGGAGAAATCTAGAGAAAACATTCCCAATTCAACATTAGCACATGAATGGATGACAGAAGATGCAAAAGCAAAAAATTGAAACACACTCAGATGTAGGCCTCAGGAAGTATAAATACCTACTTTACACATTAATATTATGTGATAGTGGGAACCCTAGGGAGAACATTGGGTGAGGGCCATGCTTCAGTTCCATTTTCTCAATCTCTTGGTGTTTAAAGACACCTTTGAGGGCAAATGCCCTAACTATATAAGGCTGCTTTCCCAAGATGCAAATAGGAGATGCATGGGGTAAGAAAATTCTCTCTATTCAGGAAGAAAATTTCAAAGCCAGTTCATGTGCTCCTGTAGAGAGCCCCAGCATACAAGAAGGCCTATCGGCTTTGAAATTTCTATGCTGGGAGAGCATAGAAATTCCTGTGGTTTAGATTGTGTTTTTGTGGTGGAGAATCATCTAAATACTGTCTTCTTCCTTGAACTCTGGGAATAGGATCACAGTAGCATTAATTGGACATGAAAGAAAGGGTTAGCCGCTGCTTATTAAAATGTCAAGGGTATCTCTATAAAGGAATTTGTGCTTTACTTTCTTTCTGCCTCTAATACAATGAGAACTCAAATGTGTATATATTAATTACCTTTAATATAAGTGGGAGGCAGCAAGTGGAGTTGAGAAGGAAGGGAAGGGAGAGAGAGAGGTAGGGGATGTTACCCAGCTACTGGCCCTGGTTTTTAGGCAGAATCCAAGGAAGCTAGAGGAGGGCCTTTCTCTTTTTATTGTGTGACAACTGCTTTGTTCTTCCTTGGACTGATGGAGGACCAGAGAACACTCGAGGATAGCTTTCACATTGGGAAGGGAGTAGAAGGATTAGGTTGGCCAGGTGGGAAGAAGTCAAAATCTGGAGAGTTTAGAATACCAGGTAAGGAGAGTTGCTGAAATCCTGGGGGGCGGGGGGCAGGGAGTTGCTGAAATCCTTTGAACGTGGAGGGATATGATAAGTACTTCTCTAGATCAGTCTGGGGGTAGTGGGTGGGGTGAAGTGAAGGGAGGAAATACTAGAGACAGGGAGATTGTGGTGATCTGTTAGATGGCTAGGGGCTGCATTTGTGGAAAAGAAAAAGGAGTAAATCAGAGAAAATAGATAGGGTGGGGGCAGAACAGGATTTTAAATCTTTTTCAATTCTAGGGGTGGGGCAAGGCAGCATGGGGTTGGGGAGTGTATCCATTCCCATCAACTATACTGGCTTACTCTGGCACAGATTTGCAATAGGTTGTGGGGGTTTTCACTCTAGGGTAGATGGTGCCTAACCATGTTAGAAGCACCTGAGGAGCTTTTAACAAATGCTTGTGTCTGGGCCTCACCTCTGAGCTTCTGAGGTAATTGGTCTGGAGTGGTTTATCAGGCAACATTCAGTGGAAGAAACATACTTACATATAAAGGGATTTGGTACAGGCGTTTGACCTTATGCACTTGTGGGAGCTGGTTAAGCAGTCCTTACGGTGTTATTTTGACACTGAAACTTGAAGTCCACAGGTCAGGCAGTCAGGAAAGGAAGGTGTTTAAGGTGGGGAGAACAAACACCAGCTAGGACCCATAATGACAGAATTAAACCTGCCTCCATGCTTGTTGCCTCTGACCTGGATGGTCTGGGTATCCTAGAGAAGCCAGGGACCTTTGTTACAGGGCTAAGCACATGCACCTGGCCGAGGAGTTGGAGAAACTGAAGGAGGATCTTGGGGAAGGTGGAGCAGGTCCAGGTCTGGTTGCTGGTTTATGCCAACCAGACAAGCCAGCAGGTCAGCAGTGATGTATGAGAGCTTTGGAAAGGCTGCTGCTTCACTTGCACTCCCCAAACTCCCCCAAACCTCTCCTGCGATCCACCCTAACTGGAAAGGAAATTCTCAGAAATGTTGTTCAACTTAACCAAGATGACATGTTACAAAACCTCCGCAGGTGGGGGCCTGGGCATTGGTGTCTCTTAAAAGCTCTCCACATGATTGTCATGTTAGAAGTACCTGGGGAGCTCTTAGCAAATACTTGGATCTGGGCCTCACTTCTGATCTTCTGACACAGTTGGCCTGGAGTAGTGATTCTGAGGTGGAGGCTGGCAAAGACCCACAGGCGATTCTGATATGCTCTTCAACTCTTGAAAGGCACTGGGGTAATGTGGTAGGAAGGAAAGAGGGAGGCCAGATACCACGGAGAATACTGAAGTGTCGAAACTGGGAGCTGGGGAGCTATGTTGCAAGGGGGTGAGAAGGAAGTAAGTGATGAAGCAATGGAAACTGTGGACCTAGACCATGCTTTTGAGAAGTATGTTAGTGAGGCCAAAAGAAAGAGGGCATCTAGAAGAGTTAGCTAGAGCCAGCAAGTATGTTCTCAAGTACTGGAGGGGAGCCAGGATAGCCTTCTTCCCCCACTGGGTTTCTTCAGCCTTTTTTTGTTTCTTCTGTTCTGGTTCTCAGGATTCCACTTCCTGCCTGGTAGCAAAGAGCCCAGCATTGTCTTCTGTCTGTAGGCAGAGTCTGGGGAGCCAGGGATTGTCTTTCATCTGTGCCCAGCTCACAAGGTCTGGGGAGTACTTCATAAGGGGGGCTCAATCTCAGGTTTCTGAGTTAAGTTAAAATGAGAGAAGGGATTAGCAGATAAAATAATGGAATCTATTGGAGAAGAAAGGAAAGAGATGGAAACAGAATTTCCTTAGGAATTAGGAAGCATAAAATACTGTTCTGGGGGCACCAGGGTGGCTCAGTTGGTTAAGTGTCCGACTGTAGGTTTCAGCTCAGGTCATGATCCCAGGGTCGTGAAATCAAGCCCCATGCAGGCTCCTCGCTGGGCATGGAGCCTGCTTAAGATTCTCTCTCCCTGCCCCCCTCCCCAACACACATGCACTTGCTCTCTCTCTCTCAAATAAATAAATCCTTAAAAAATATAGTTCTAGGCTGTTTGGCAATTTCAGAAGCAAAAAGAAACAGTTTAGTGCATATGCATTTCACAAATTTGACACATAAGTTTAATGATTATTTTCACAGATTTGTTTTTCATTTTTAATACTATTTTTATTGATTGCACATGTACTAAAGGGCTATGTTGGTCACTTCATCTCCATGCTAATAGTGGTAAAATAGAGTATGGTTAATGGCACATCTTTGTATCATTTGTATGTCGTCTGAGAAATTTGCATTTTTTTGTTACTATTGTGCTCCCTTTCCCCCCTAGTACCTAAAAATGAATCGTCGGTTCATAGTGCTTCTCTTAAATATACATGCACTTGGAGAATGAAAGACTATGTCTCAGAAAAATTTTGCAAACCTAATAAAGAACATGTTATAGTACAAATACGGAAAATAAATCTGTCTGTGAGGACAAATCTGAGAATAAGACTTTCATGCAGTAGCCAAAAATGGAAAGGGTGAATTGAATGTATGATGAAGAACATCAGAAATTTTATGTTTAGTAGACTAAGAATATATTAGCCTCTAATTCCCTGTAATTTTTAGGTTTTTCTAGAACAAGGGCAAAATAATGCTTTCTAGTATGTTATATTGAAGATTGTCAATGAAGTCAGAGAAAGGAGCAAAACAATTGTTTGTCCAAACTTGTCCTCCTGCCAGTCAAAATGAGGATGGGCTACACTGTTGCCAAAACACTTTAAAAAATAGCTACAAAGTCAAATATGTAAGAAGAGCAAACAGAACCAGCATTGGCAACATTCCTCTTTGAGGTGATACTATTGGATCTCAAACCTTAGTGTGTATCAAAATCACCTGAACTCTGGCTCCCCGGGGGAATTTCTGATTCACTATATCTGGGGTGGAACCCAGACATTTATGTTTCTAATTCCCAGATGTTGCTCCTGCAGGTGGTTGAAGACACCACTTTGAGAACCATTGGTGTACAAGTCACAGGTGTGCGTGCTGGCAGACACTTTCCTTGACACTATAGTTGAATAAATCATTATGCACAGAATATGAAGCAGTTGTCTACTGTGCCATGCATGGGTGAAGGAAATGTGCTTAATGACTCATCACTGGAAAATCCATGTTTGAGGAAAGAGGATATTTTTTCTCTCTCACGGTTGATTAAATCAGCTGTGATATAGTTTGGGAAGGGACTCTGGGATTGGTACTGAGGGAGTGCCAGCCATAAGTGGGCAGGCAAGGACTTGGTGAGTAAAAATAGCTGCATCTAAATGCCCTCCCATTCTTCTTTTTTTCACACAGGATAGTTGGTGGTCATTACAAGCCTTTCATTTTTGATTCTGAGTTGAAGGAAATACAGAAAATTGTGAATACGATGAAAGCATAATAATTGAATGTGTACATATTTCACGTGCTATACAAAGGAATGGGTAGAACATTTTTTAAAATTGAGAATAACTGATATATAACATTGTATTAGTTTTAAGTGTACAGTGTAATGATTGGATATACGTATATATTGCAAAATGATCACCACAATAAGTTTGGTTAACATCCATCACCATATACAGTTATAATTTTTTTCTTTTTTTAAAGATTTATTTATTGATTTGACACACAGAGAGCGAGCACAAGCAGGGGAAGCTGCAGAGGGAGAGGGAGAAGCAGGCTCCCCGCTGAGCAGGGAGCCCATTGTGGGGGCTCGATCCCAGGACCCTGGGATCATGACCGAGCTGAAGGTAGACGCCCAAGCAACTGAGACACCCAGGCACCCCAATTTTTTTTTTCTTCTGATGAGAACTTTTAAGGTCTACTTTCTCAAGGGCAGCCAGTTTAAGATGACTTTTTCCTCACTAAGGGATGCTGGCTATTGAGGAAGGTGCTCAAGAGTTTCTGGTTAATCCAGAAATGTCTTAACATTTATTTACATTAGTAATATGAGAACAGACCATTTCTGGGTTTCAAGTGGCTTAGCTCAGCAGAATGCTCAGTGTCCTATCTAGTCTGAACTAGCTGAAATGTGACATGAATAGCTTGATCTCAAATAATTTGATTCTTTGCATACTTTATAACATCCTTCCTTCACTTAAGAAATAATGACGTATCATTGGGTGGGCATGTTTTAAAACCACACACATAAGCTAAAACTAAACATACAAGACTGATTTTCAGAACCCCACACAACTCAGTGGAAGATCTAGGTTTCATTTGGCACAATCTCCTAGGTTGAAACAGTCCATACACCAGCCATTTCTTGTAAGTGCTTGTTCATTTAGCATTCAACAGACTATGAAAAGTAGTGAGACTCCTATCTTAATTTAGTGAAAAAATTTTCCATAACATCTGGATCCACATGTGAGCCAAATATCTAGAACCATTTGACAGAACCATCAAATACACTTGTTTTCATTCCTGACAACCTCTAACTGTAATCTAGGATCTTCTGGTTGGGTAGAAGTAAATAATAGAAATCAGCTTGGTGTGGACCCTGACCTATTGCATAAGCAGGATATAGATGCCCTGGTGAAAAACTATAAATGATGATAATACCCCCCCATCATTGATTTGAAGTAGTTTGCCATTTTGCTCATTTTATTTATTTTAAAATCTGTGATTAATCTATTTCTTTTTGAAAAATGTACCAAAATTGGTGTTCTGCATGCATTCTAAACAGCTGTTAAGTGGTCATTTTTGGATTGCTATCACAACTAGCTGCACAGGATTTTTTCAAAGGTTTGGCACTACCGCCCCTAGTAATGCTACGTTAGCACCACCATGTGGAGAGAAGGAACAGTATCGCTCTCTATGGTTAAAAATGGGGGACAGTTGATCCTCTTGAATTTAAGCTAATTTTACTAAATTTTTGCCTAGTAAGTTTTAGGAAAAACAGAATATTATTTTTTAGAGAAGGAAAAAACCCATTAGATTAAGATTTATTGAACACTTGCTGGATGCTAGGCTTGTGCTAAGTCCTTAACATGTATTATCTTGTTTCCTCCTTGCCATGACCCCATGAACCACTGTTACCCACTTTACAGGTATGGAGAAGTGTTCGGATAATGTAGCCCAAATGCCTTCTAAAAGTGAACATCTTCTAAAAGTGGACATAAAATAGTACTAACTCCATCCTCTAGACTCCTTTGCCCTTAGGACAAGCTGAACAGTCCAGTTTTCAGGTGTGAACACAAAGGCACATTTCTGTCTCTGGAGCATTATTTTGTCGTGGAAAGTCTTACTTCAGGGTCTTCTCTGTGGATCTCATTTGCTTCTCCTCTGGCAGCTTAAAGAGTGGAGAGCAGAGTAAAGTGAACTCAAGTATTCATTAATTCTTGTAGAAACAAAAACCGCATTACCCCAGGTATTCAGAAGACTCTGAATGATTAGTCTAAAGATTAAGATTGTTGGAGCACCTGGGTGGCTCAGTCGGTTAAGCATCTGCCTTTGGCTCAGGTCATGATCCCAGGGTCCTGGGATTGGGTCCTGCATCGGACTCCCTGCTCAGCAGGGAGTCTGCTTCTCCTTCTTGTTTGTGTGCGCTCTCTTTCTTTCTCAAATAAATAAATAAAATCTTAAAAAAAAAAAGATTAAGATTGTTAACCAGACTCCCGGTCACATGACCCAGAGGTTCACAAATGGCAGGAAAATATCCTTGAAGGAGAGAAGGTTGTTCCTTGAATTTAGAGTTCTAAATCTAAACTACATCTTATTAAAAGATGTACAATATTAACACGAGTGACTTTAAAAAATTTATAACTTAACTCCTATACCCTGAAGTTCTACCAATTAAATACTTGCTTTAGTAAATATAGTAGACAATAGCTTATAGGTCTGCTAGAGGCACCAGTCTTTTATACCTTAGTATTAATCAGTAAAGTAAGATCCATTTCTCTCTGCATTTGGTGAAGATCACTTGGGGCAATGAGGAATCTGATGGGGACTTACGGTAGGCAGATACTTTGGAGCATGAAGCACTTCAGCAAGGACAGGTCTGAGTGAGCCATCCCTGATGTGGGAAAGGAAACATGGTCCCAGGTACTAGAATTTAGGGCAGTACTGTAGATCGCTACCTTATGGATTAAATCAATAGTTTGTAAGCTAGTTTGGGAATTTAGTGTTTATAATGTTGCTCAGGTCTCTTGGAGCTATGACTCTCTGTGACTCAGTGACATTTTTTCTATGGGATAATGTGTTCTGAGTGTTAACAAAATTACAAGCAAAATTTTTTAACCTAACCTATTATGTGTTGGAAATAAGAAACATTTATCAATGATACACATGTCAAAAATGATACATTTTATATGTGTCAGATTCTGATATAAACACTTTAAATGTTAACTCATTTAATCCTTATAAGAAGGTACTGATACTATTTAGTTTTAGGGATGAAGCAACTGAGGCACAGAGTTTAATGGCTTGCTAGGGTTATATAGTTGCTAAGAAGTTGTGCTAGGATCTGAATCCAGGCAGCCTGGATTCAGAGGTTATGCCTCTTAACCAGTGTCCAAGATGTTTGTAACTTCTATGCATAGATTTTTATGGTTTTTAAAAGGATTTTCAACTATGATTTCTCATTTATGCCTCAAAAATAACTGAGCAATTTTCAGGAGCTGAGAGGGAAAAACTATGGAAAGTAGAAATAGCTTAATGGAAATTCAGTTGAGGAAATCAATGAGGCTCAAGATTTGAATTCGAAAGCTGCTTATAATGGACTTTGAGGGGATTTCAAAAAATTAGATGTGCATTACTGTGATAAGAAAGTTCTTCTGTGCTCAACTTCTTTTCTTTCTTCCTCTCCTCTCCTCTCCTCCCCTCTCCCTTTCCTTTCTTCTTCCCTCCTCTTCCTTCTCTCTCTCTCTCTTTGCATTTCCAATTTCAGCTTACTATTCTTGGGGAGAGGGATGAATTTTTCAGTTGCTTTTTCATGAAACAATTTATTTCTGAATGGTGATAGAATGATTAAGCCTTCTTTTTAAGCATGAGAAATGTTCTGTAGACATTAAATGATTCTTCATGGTATAGTTGAGAAAGTGTAGGATGAAGAAAATATAAATATTGAAATTTTGAGAATTCTCAATCTCAAAGTATTCCTGTAACAATGGAAGCATCAAACACTGTTCCATTGATTTAGCTCAATAACATCATAAGTACTCAACAAATAGATGTTAAATCCCCACAGAGGATGCCCTTTTAATACTTGGTAATCAAATACTGCATGTGGCCAGGGAAATGGGAAAGATGCAGTATCTTCTTCTGTGGATAAGGCAGCAGTTGAAGGTGGAATTAAGAAGACTGACAACAACCAAAGATGTAGCCAGGCAGAAGGTTTAAAAACATTAAGACCATGTATTTTGCTCAGCATACCATTCCCTGATTAAGATATTTTAGAGTCCGTATGAGGGGTCTGAATATGAGCATGGTAGAATCAGTGGAACAACCATGTCTTGCAAGACTCACAGGTGGGTGGATAAATGCTCAAATGAATTACAAGTTCCTCAACCAGTTTTTAAGAGCTATCCTAAAGCAGGAGAGGATTGCAGAGGTCCGGTTGCAAGGCCTGTCAGCTCCTACAGGAAGTGTTCAGATAATAAGACAATCTATAAAAGCTCTCATTATGGAAGCTGCTCCTAGCCAAGAAATAATAAAAGAGTAACTGACATTGTAATCAGAGTTACTGATGTAGTGTTAACATGCTAGGAGAACACAGGAAAACAAAGATGTTCTCCAAGAAAAGTAATAACTAGCGGAGAACTTTAAAGTCCCTAAAAATGTAAGGAACACTTTACTGAATTCAATTGCAGGACCCCCTGAGGTTCTCAAACAACTTTCTTTTGCAGTTTTTATATCTCAGAGCATTTTGGTCAGATTTCTTACTAAATAGCAGAAATGAACTCAATAGTTTGAGAAAATAAAGTTCTATCACTGTTTTCATGGCTTTAGTAAGAAGCAGGAAGAATGTGGACGTTGATTAATTCTCTTGCAAAGACTAACCCACTGCAAGAAGACTGATTTCTCAAAATTATGTGAGAAGCAGGCTTATGGTTTTGAAACTGTTTGGTGAGTTATTAAAAAATTAAACATATACCAAGGTCCTTGGATAACAAAAGACTGATGTCCTTGAGAAACTCTGAGATGCTGTAGATTTCAGAATGTCTTCAAGTTTATGGTCCAAGAATACTGCCTGGAGTTGACAAGTGACAAACACAGCCAGTGAACTTGCATTCCTCTCTAATGTCAGTCCCACCCCAAGTGCAGCAAGCCAAAGGGATTTGTTTTGGAAATCCTCATACAAAGTAGATTAGTTTGGAGCCAGTAGAATTTGTGGTTAAGATTCTGCTGGAATCAAGCAGGTGTGGATTCAAAGCCTAGCCCTGCTACTTTCTATCTTTATGAAATTGGGCAAATTACTTCATCTTTCTGAGCCTCAGTTTAATCATCTGTGAAATGGGAATGAAAATTTCCAGAGGTTTTTTTTCTATTAGGAAGTCAGTGTCAATTATTTTATTGTCTTTTTTACTTTTTAACGTACCCTGTTGTAGTAGTTTTTTTTTTTTTAAGATGTTAGTTATTCATGAGAGAGAGCACGCGAGAGAGAACAAGCAGGAGGAGGAGCAGAGGGAGGGAGGGAAGCAGGCTCCTTGGCAAGCAGGGAGCCCAATGCAGGGCTCTATCTCAGTACCCTGGGATCACCACCTGAGCTGAAGGCAGATGCTTAACCGACTTAGCCACCTAGGAGCCCCTGTGGTAAAGTGTTTTTATTGTCTTATATATTTATACTCATTTTTGAAGTTGCATTATCATGGGCAAAGGTCACGGTCTTTTTCCTCCTTATGTTGTTGCCTGAGTTGTCTCCATCTTGCAGAATCCCCTACTTTGAAACTAGCGCTGCCAATGGGACAAACATAAGCGAAGCAATCGAGATGCTCCTGGACCTGATAATGAAGCGAATGGAACGGTGTGTAGACAAATCCTGGATTCCTGAAGGAGTGGTCCGATCCAATGGTCACACCTCCACAGATCACTTGAATGAAGAAAAGGAGAAGGGGATCTGTGGCTGTTGAAGAGTCCAGTGAGCTATACAATAACTCAAATGGTCCGTGTCTGTGATCTTTTCTATGGGTGATATATGTGGCACAGAGAGAGATGAGCAGGCATTATGTACAAACTGCTTCTACCGTCCCACTTAGACCTCTCCAGTTTTAAAATTCATTTGCTGCAGCTTTTAAATATTTAAGATTCAGCCCGAGAGTTATGAGAAATATTTCACATAGCCAAAAGTGCCTTATAAGACCTTAACCCATGGCAGGAGATGGTTCAGAATTGAGGATTTTGTAGCCACAGAAGAGTGCATTTATTATGTAGAATGACTAAAGATACCATCACCTGCCTTAACATACATTAGTCCAGAGTCTAACACTCAAAATATTAGATACAATTATAAAACTACCCATCAGTCTTTAATCCAAATTAAAAAACCCACTTGTACTGTGGGTGACCTTGTAAAATGCCATCTAAACCACTTGAATGTTAAATAAGAATATACACAAATATCAGTTCAATGTCCTTGAGTATTAATTTATATAAACAATCTCTTTAAAATGAATATAGCATAAATTATGCTTATATCTGTAGACTCTGGATAAAGTGGATTGACCAATTGTATACTCACTGAGGTTCTTGTTGGTAGGAAAGGGGTTGGGGGTGAGGTTAGGGGTATCTTAATGTAGTGTGAGCAACTGAAGTGGGGCCTCTAGCTCCCTGCTATATTCCTACTGCTCTGAAGGGTTGATTGAAGGATCAGGGAATTAGATTTTTATGGCTGTATTTCATTGTGATCTGTGTGTTTATACTTGGCCAACGTGCTGGCCACATTTGAACATAGCTGGTGCTTATGCTGAAGTTATTTGTGATAAGTAAGCATTTAGCTTTTTTTTTTCATATTTATAATGTTGGTCTGGCATCCTCAGCCTGCAGTTTTAATTAGCTTGTGAACTACTAATCTTTTGTCTTCACTATCATGCTTTATATTATTGATATTTGCAACTTGTTTTATTTTTACATTGGTGGAATTAAAGGAATTAGATTTTAATTGCATAAAATGTTTGCTATTTGGTAGAAGAAAGCTGTATTTAAGCAGTTACATTAATACTATAACTCAATATAAGAAAAATGAAGCCTTAAATAGCCTATATTTTTTATTTAGATCACAGGCATTTATTGTACTCTCTGGGTCTTGCCAAGGTTATGGATTCCTCTGCATTGCCTAAGTGTCTTTATATCAATCAACTTTATATCAATCAACTTTAAAATATGCTTAATGGTAGGTGTTTATAAAGGTCATAGGGGAAAATTCTTATTTATTGAAGAAAGTGGTTTAAGTAAATTAGATTAAAATTTCCAAAGAACTTAATGGTTATTTAGGAAGAATTACCATTCATTGTAATTTAAACAAAGAATAAAAATAAATGTATTTTGTGGTGGCAAATGATTGGAAGAACTGTAATTAGAAAAATACAGCCATGATGGAAGTAATTACTTGGTAATTTTCAAATAGCTGTTTTTTTTTTTAATTTTTATTATGTTATGTTAATCACCATACATACATCTTAGTTTTTGATGTAGCATTCCATGATTCATTGTTTGCATATAACACCCAGTGCTCCATCCTATTTCTTTGGTGCTTCCTTCCTACTACTCCCTTAAAAAACTTAGCTGTGAGTAATGAGATCTTATATATTTCTATCCTTGAAATGAAGACTTCTTGTTAATACTAAGAAAGTCATTGAGTCCTATGCATTTGGATTGTGTATTCCAGTAAGGAAAAGATCCAGACATTACAAGGGCAGGGTCCTAATCACAAACAGTGCCTTCTAAAGTTGCCATAGACTTCAATTTAGCAAATCATAATTTTATAGCTACGTATCAGGCAGCATTTTATATGGTCTATTATGTAGTTAAAAAGAAGACAATATTTATGTGTTTCACTTTTTTCAAGAACTAAACAAGCAATAGCTACATATCCATTGGCTTTAAGCATAATACACAAACATATACATGATATAGTGCACATGCAAGAACCATCCTTAATTATTGAAATAAATAACCTGTATTGTCTTTGGAAATCCTTTGTTTGAATTTGGTATCAAAGTATCATTTTTGTGCGTCAGTGTATTTTTCTATTTATAAGACTGTGTAAAAGTAAAGCGTATCCTCAGTGAACTTTGTGCCAATTAAGCTTATAATTAAAAAGTGGTCTAGTCTGCCAAGTTTGTGTGTGAATATGACTTCATTATACCTCTCCTTCTGAGAGGTATTCTGGGGTATTCTGAGGTATTCTGGGGATTCTGCTCAGCATGGAGTCTGCTTGAGATTCTACCTCTCCTTCTGCCCCTCCCACTTGTGCTCTCTCTCTCTCTCTCTCTCTCTCTCAGATAAATAAATCTTAAAAAAAAAAAAAAAAGATATAAGCTCCATGACAAATGGGACTCAGGCAGCTTTCTTCAAAATTGTGTTGCCACTACACAGAAAAGGGCCACTACACAGTAGGTTATTGGTGAACTGCACAAAGGACTTAAGTGGCAGCAGGGTCAAATGAATGGGTTTTCAAATAGGAGTCTGTTAATGTTCAAAGAGGAGTAGAATTTGAAAATAAAAACAGCTTCAGAAATGTTTAGACAGGCTCACATATGTTTATCGTTTATGTGAGAAATTAGGAAATCTGAGAAGTACATTCTGTATCTTAAAGTTGATGTCAAGATTGCTAACAATCTAAAAAGTGTTCAAAGGGAATATTTTGATTGACATTTTTATAAACTGGAAATTTCTGTATGGTATTTCCAGGTCTTCTATTTTTGGCAATATTGGTGACTGTAACTGGAAAATTCTTCCACTATAAAACATTTAGATAATGCTGAATAAAATATAATGAATGTATTTTTTAAATGTAGTGTTGATCTCTTAATAAAGTAAGGGAAATATCCTGCGACCACCCCTTTCCCCCCACAAAACAGACAGTAACAAGGGCAACAGCAATGGCAGCAACAGAGAGAAATTTCAACAACCTGATACTGAGTGTGGTTTGCTTTTGGTTTCATTTCTCCAGTATTAATAATCAAGATGCTTGGTTTTAGTGACTACATGCCATTGAGAGAGAAAGTCTTGGATATGGCAGAGGTAGGGCCCTGGAATGGAGAAGCCCTCACCCCTAAACAGACAAAAATCCAGGGCCCACTCTATGTCTTAGTCTCTCCTGAGAAATGTATAACCTTTTACACAGGTTTAGGGTTCAAATTTATAGTACCTATTTTTTGGTCTGCGAATGGCTAAGCCAAGAAGTTAACATTAAAAAAGTGATTTGTGGTTGGTAATACCTCTGGACTACTTAGTAGAAGCGAAGCAAAATCTTTTCAGAGAGAACATCTCCACCCATACTTTACAGGACTCTTCCAGAAAACACTCTACTAAGGATGAACTCAAAATTAAAAAATGACAACCCATTCCTTCCCTACTCTCTCAGCCTCAATCATGAGCAAGGGTCAGTAAACCCAAAGCAGCAGTATTTTACATGTAAGGACTTCAAATAATATCAGATGGGGACCACAAAGTAAAAATGTTTAAGAAAATTACAAATGTAAGAGGAGTTGAAACATCTGGAAAAAGAAGACATTATTAAAGATAAAAGATTGGTTTCAATGAAAAAAGACTTCATGTATGAGAAATACAGTCACTGATATTCAAAACTTAATGGTCAAAAGTTAAATGGCAAGCTTGACACAGCTGGAGTGAACTAGAAGCCAGGCTGGAGGAAATTACACGGACTTCAGCAGAGATAAAGAACAAGTAAGAGATACAGAGGAAAGATAAAAGCTTCAATTTATGTCCAGTAGGAATTCTAGAAGAAGAAATTAGAGAAAATAGAAGAAGCAATATATGAAAAGAGCTGAGGATTTTTTAGTAATGATAAAACACATACTTTCAGATTCAGGAATCATAAGTCTCAAGCAGGATAAGTGAAAAATAGTATTTCGAAGATTTCAGCTCAATTTATTGGATGTGGAATACATGTCTTTCTTATGTATTCTTTTGTAATCATTGGAAAGAAAAAAGCTTTGAAGACTGTCTACTCATCCATTCAACCTAAAGTGAAGCACTGAATATGCTTATAGGCTGAAAGGAACAAAGCCTCCAATGAAACTTTAGGGTATGGGATTAAGAGCCCAGATAAGGGATGTGGCCTCTGACACTGAAGTTAAGAGGGGGATGCTGGGTGATCATGTAAGTAAGAAGGGCAGGAGATTTCTTATTTAAGTAGCAGGATAAAACAGAGTTGGGAAGGAATTGTGTAAATAGCTTGGGAGGACTGGCGAGACTCTTCTATAATTGTTGGGAATAAGAGAGGGAGAGGATTAAACAAAGATAATTTTCAGTCTCTTGGCTGACAATGAAGTATTGGGCAAATGTTTATTACATTTCTGGTATGTGCCTTTGTGGTTAACATTGTTCTGGAATTACTACTCAAATTATTAGAGAAGAAAAGTATAATCAGATAAAAGGAAAAATTATATGTATTTGTAGATTCTAATTAGACAAACTGATTCTAAAACTGAAAAAATAAACTTTAAAGAATAGCCAGAGAAACAATGCATAAGAAGGCCAAGAAAGTGAGAGGCGGGCTGCAGGTAAACCCAGTTATTTAAAAAGTTGTAACAATTTAAACATTTTAGAACTGGCACATGAGAGTCCAGAGGTAAACCCATAAAGAAGTGACATTTTGATTTAGGGAAATACCTTACTCAACATATGTTATTAGAAAAAAACAAAACAAAACTGGAATCCTATGTCATTTATACTTAAGTAAATTCCAGATTGGCTGAAAATTCAAATGTGAAAAATACTGTAAAAATAATGGAGAAAAATCCAAAACAAAACAAACAAACAAAAAAAGATTGGATAAGTTTGGATATATACAAAGAAAACATTTCTGGATGGAAAAATACTATAAGCAAAGTTTAAAATATCAATAAATTGGGAAACAATATCTAAATGTCAGCAAAGCACTAACTTAATACATCAAGTGATGTTAAGAATCAACATGGTAGAAAACTGTAAAGGACATAAACAGGCAATTCACAAAACAAAATAGATTTCGAACATTGGGAAAAATTCTTAACCTCATTCATAAATAAATGCAAGTTAAAATAATAATGATATAAATTTTAACCTCAGACTGGTAAAGATTATTTTTGACAAGGATGTAGTGAAATCAGTATCTTATTGGTTGTTGTTGAGTGTTAATTGGTAAAACCTTTTAGAGTATTCAATATTATCTTCCAGATTTTAAAAGGGTACCTATCATATCCTCTGACCTAGGTTTTTTCTATGTAGATAAACTCCCTTTTGGAATAAAAAAGTATATCAGTAAGTGATAGAGTAGGCATTTAGATGTGAGCTAGAGGCAAGGGAAGGTGATAAATCGGTTACATATTAGAAGTCTGGGGCACAACACCCTGACTTTGTGGCTTCCAAGACCCTGGGGCTAACAGACCAAGAGCCACAGGTGCAGAACTGGCTCTACACTTCCACCTCTGCCCCGGGGTAACCCCTACACTCGTTATAATATATTTGCATTGCACTTTTTAGCCCCGCCCCATGGGCAAAGGCTGCCATGACAGTTTGGTACAAACCTTGTAGGGTCAAAAACTCCCCCTCCCAACCCGTGAGAGGAGTCCCCCAAATGACTGGAAGCAGTCTCCATAGAGACCGCCCCTCTATGAAGAAGATCCCCGCTCCTATAAAAAGAACCCCTATAGTCTTAGGGCAGTTGCCACCTCTGGGCCAGCCTACTCTCCCACCTTGAGAGTATACTGTCCCTAATAAATTGCTTTCTGCTATTTTCCTTCTGTCTTTACTGGAGTGCAGATCCTCAGGTAAATCTTTCGTGGGGAATCCAAGAATCGACACCTCCATTCACACAAGGTGGACTATCCTACCAGGAATATAAGGATGCTTATTATAACAAAAAATAGGAAACAAATGTCCATCCATAAGCGACCAATTAAAATGACACCTTCATATAATCGCATATACATACAAAACTACGAAAAAGAATCTTAGGGGCCCCTGTGTGGCTCAATGGGTTTAGCTACCCACTCTCGATTTGGGCTCAGGTCCTGATCTTAGGGTCCTGGGATTGAGCCTGGTGAGGGGCTCCACACTCAGCAGGGTGTCTGCTGGAGGATTCCCTCTGCCCCTCACCACGCTCACATGTGTGCTCTCTCTCTCAAATAAATACATCTTAAAAAAAAGAGAGAGAATGTTAAATATTCACTGATAATAAAATATTTACGTGCTAGGAAGTATTCTAGGTATTGGAGCTCTAGTAGCTATAAACAAAAAGGCAAAAATCCCTATCTTCATGGAGCTCTTATTCCAATAAGGGACAGGTAACAGTGAGAGGCACAAAAGGGTGGATAGGATGCTCATTAGTGTTAAAAAGAAGAGGAAGACGCAAGCACACAGAAATAAACATGTTTGTCTATGCACAGAAAATCTTTGACAGGTAGTAAAAGGAACCGATTGTCACCGGGAAGGAGGTCTCGAGATCTGAGAGGGAATCTTTGTTTCCTACGAAAATGTGTTTCTCACCACATGTATATTAATTAAAAGGGGGAGAAAAGGTAAAAATCACAAGTCTTTCAAAAATTTTTGGTAACGTTCTCAGCCTCACAGAATCATATGCTTAGGTCCTAAGTCCGAAGTAGGTTCTCAATATTGCCACCCTGCTACGCTGGGGACGCCGCCAATCAGGGGCGGGTATAGGGGCAGGCAGTGGGAAAAGGAGTTCCTAGAGGCATCCCAGTGTGTGGAGAGTCAGCCGGGGACAAAGCACAAACCATATAAAATATGAGTAAATGCTGACGTTACAGGGTATGGTAGAGAGGAAAACTAGGCGCTGTGAGAGCGAGTTCAGAAGGGAGAGCAGCGCCACGTTTCACTTCGGAAGAGCGAAGGTAGTGAGGCCGATTTTGCAGCTCTGCGCCTGCGCCAAACGGCAGCGCTTTTGCTCCCGGGGCCGCTGGGAGGCGCCGAAACGTTCGGACCTCGTTCCAAGGCCCTCAGGGGCGAAGGACGTTCGCTTTTTCCGGGTCGGGTATTGAAGAGAATCACTTCCTGTGACGGAGCTACGTCACTTCCACTTAAGATCGGCGTCTGGTCTGTGGGAACCCACGCGGTTTCAACATGCGTATCGAGAAGTGTTATTTCTGTTCGGGCCCTATTTACCCCGGCCACGGCATGATGTTTGTCCGCAACGATTGCAAGGTGAGGCGCCCAGAACCAGCGCGCGCTCTGCGACGCTCCCGCGAGCGTGAGGCCGCGCCAGCTAGGCGCCGGCTCCTCCTGCGGCTGGGGCGTTTGGCTCGGGTTTTCCGCGCTGCCCTCACAAGAGGGTGATTTTACGAGGAGCTCTGGCCTTGTCCTGGACCTGGGGAATTTCTCCTTGTGGGTGTCCCAAACCGAGCTGGTCACCAACCCAGCCTTGGACAGGCTGGCGGCGGTGAGGTTCCCCAGTTATTTGAGCCAGCGCAGAATGGAATCTAGGGGTGTGTTCGGGCTGTTTGGTCACTCTTGTACGTGAGTGAAGTTTTTGAATTCAGTAAATTTTGTTGAATGAATGCCCAGTCAAGCATCATTGCTAAGATCTGTGTCCATAGAGATGAGTAAGACTTGGGAATGTCCGTGACGTGTAGACGTTGACTGAAATGTTGCCTATGGCTTAGTAGTAGTTAACGTATTACGAAGGCGGGCGCAGGTGAGTTGGGGAGGGTCATATGTGAAAAGGCTCAGAAAGGAGATGTCATTTATCCTGGATCTTGAATGTTGCGTAAAAAAGTGAGGAGAGTACATTCTAGGTGGAAGTAAAGTGAACGGTTGAGTAGAGGCTCAGCGAAGCAGTCTTAAGGAAGTGAGTGGATTGTATATCGTGATAGAGGCTTCGGGTAAGGCTATAAATACACATGTAAGTCTGTATATAAAAAGATACGTACAGAAACATAAAATATAGGGCGCCTGGGTGGCTCAGACGTTAAGCGTCTGCCTTCGGCTCAGGTCATGATCCCAGGGTCCCAGTATTTTGGCTTGTGATATATACACACAGGTTTGTGATCTGTATACACAATTTGAAATGTTTATACCTCATTTTGACCTTTTTTTAATGGGTCACATCTTCTAGGTATGATAATTCAACTTAAGATTCTTTGTCAAGATCCATGTACTCCAAAGTAGTACTTTTTCTCTTCAGATTTCCTCTACATGAACAAATTGCAGTGTGTTCTAAGACATTACAAAGTAATAAAATACGTATTTTAGACTTCTTATGAGTCCCAGTAAGCCATTTCAGGGGCACATTGAAGCATCATTAAATCATAAGTTCGCACTGATAAAGGGCCATATCTTCTGGGATAAAGCAGGCGGGAAGCCTGCTTCTCCCTCTCCCAGTCCTCCTGCTTGTGTTCCCTCTCTCGCTGTCTCTGTCTCTGTCAAATGAATAAATAAAATCTTTAAAGAAAAACATAAAACATAAACATAATTATGAGGACTGGTTGCGATAGACTTTGAATGATACATGAATTTGTCTTATGGTAGAATGTATCTCATTCTATGTTTATTTAACACATTGTTTCATAGAATTCGACCTTTCATATTTGCTTCTGAATCACTGGGCACTTGTAAAAAAAAAAGATTCCTCGTTTCCACTAAATCTGTTAAATTGGTATCTTTGTGGGGAGGAGAAGAGGACCTAGGACTCTGTATTTAACAGGTGACTTTGATATGCCAAGGAATTACAGATCCTATGTCATCACCTTATATCTCTTACAGACAGAAGATATTGACATCATTAATTAGGAGCAAGGGGTTCCTGCGGAAAGTGTGGGACCAAAGAAACTTGAAAGAACATGCAGAAGATTTTTGAATACCTGCTCTCAGGAACATGATTAAAAGTTTATAGAAACGAACTAAATAATTGTTAGGTTGGCATTTAATTCACAGTGGGCACTGTGGCTTTGTAGATGATCTGGTCATCATAATTTTATGATTTTTGTCGAGCAGTGCTTCTCAGGTGGGTATAGAAATTAGAACAACAGATCATGGGAGCTATCTAGAGTTGGGTGTTGATCTGGCAGACACAGTGGAAGTTCATGTTGATGAGGAAGTCTGTATTGCTAGCAAGGACAGGTTTGAATTGGCTGGCAGCCAGCTTACTCTTGGGAATACCAGTGGATCCAAAATAGAGTTGGCTGGGGATATAAGAAGCAGAGGCCCTGAAGCACTAAGGAAGATAGGTATCTCATTTTTTTCTGTGTTAGTGATTCCCAGATCTGTGTCTTTTTAGCTCTAGTCTGAATTTTCCACTGGATGGGGAAATCCTGTTTGTACCTAACAGTGAGCCTAGTGAAAGAGTTCCTAATTACCTCAAATCTTTTTTGTTTCTGAATAAATACCACTGTCATATGCCTAGACAGTTTTGCTAGAAATGTGAGTCATCTTTGAACCTTTCACCTTTAATTTAGTTATCAAGTCTTATCCATCTGCCTCTGCAGAGTATGGTTGTCTTTGTTTTTTTTTCTGCCCTCCCACTCTGGTTCCAGATTAGGCACTGGTCACTTTTATAGCCTCCTAACCAGTCTTTCTGCCTTTTTCCTCTTAGCTTTTGAGACTGTTTTTCATAGAAACCTCCCCACTTACACTTCTTGGGTAGCTTCGTAATGGTAGAATTAGTGTTAATGTTCCATATTTTCATATACCTTGCAAACATAAAAAATACAAGCACCGTTAATGAGTCCTTAATAAGTGTTCAATCAGTGGAATTTAGGAAAGAGTTGAACTTTGAAGCTGAAGTATTAGATCATTTGTTGAAAACTGAGGATGATGTTAGAGGACTAGCTTAAAAGGGAAACTTGGCGCCTATGAAGTTTTGCCTCACAATCCATCCATCACTTACCCCACCATATATTTAACCGCTCCCTTATTTTTATTTCCATATTACTTAAACATGTATCATTGTATGTATTGTGTATGCCCTATCCTGATTTCAATGTCTCCTTTGTAAATTGAAACTATTAAAATGCTAGCCTAAGCTTCTCAGGGTAGAATACCATATTTTAATTATTCTTGTATCTCTAGCACCTGATAATATCAGCTACATAGTAGATCCTTCTTATTTGTTGATTGAATTCCCTTCACATCTTCAGTGATTCCATTCTCTTCAGGTACTTCATTGTCTTTTTTAGTTAACATCTATTAGATACAAAGTTCAAGTAGCCTTCTCTATCTTTCCATTGGCTTTCTTTGGAATTGAGACCCAGGACAAGTTCAGACATCTCATTTGGTATATCTCAGAAATGGGGACTTGTCTAGGAGTTATCTAGTAGGTATTAAACATAGGAAGCTTTTACTTAAAAAGGTAATAGTCCTTTGGGCTGAAAATACAAAAAAAAATTTACTGATAATGAATTCATAGTGGGGTACTCCAGGAGACCCACTTGTGTTCATATATTTCTGTTTGCTCTGAAACTAATTCAACAATATAGACGTGTTTTGACTCCTGTCCTCTCTAGGAGGTACTGACCTGGATCAGATTAAACTAGTATTATACTGTTTCTAAGAAAACTGTGTCCTAGTGTGTATAGGGACCTGCTTGAATTCCCCCATAGAACAAAGTGTACATAAAATGAACAGTATTTTAAAGGCTTGTGATACATACACACAGGTTTGTGATCTGTATACACAATTTGAAATGTTTATACCTCATTTTGACCTTTTTTTAATGGGTCACATCTTCTAGGTATGATAATTCAACTTAAGATTCTTTGTCAAGATCCATGTACTCCAAAGTAGTACTTTTTCTCTTCAGATTTCCTCTACATGAACAAATTGCAGTGTATTCTCAGACATTACAAAGTAATAAAATATGTATTTTAGATTTCTGATGAGTCCCAGTAAGCCATTTCAGGGGCACATTGAAGCATCATTAAACCATAAGTTAGCACTGATAAAGGGTCATATCTTCTGGGATAAAGGTGTAAAAAAGTATTGAAGAATTTTCCTAGTAGACCTATGAATAAATACTTTAGAACACAAATCTATACCCAGTGTTAGTTGCTTTTTGAAATTATTTTGTGCTTTTAACAAAAAGCATAGAACCAAACGAGTTTCAGAATAGGTGTTTGAAACTTTCACCCCCATTGAGGTATATAGCAAGTGAAATCTGAGAATTATTGTTTAGGAAGGGGTTTAAATAAATGACTTTCCTTGAAACCATTGTTTTTATTCAAGATGATTATAGGTTTTATTGTTAATATATAAAAATGGTAGTTTTTAACCATATATTTGGGGCCCTTCAGCCATTAGTTGTGATGATATTTGGTAGTTAAATAATAGTCAAAAATAATTCAGTTTACATTTAATCTTACATGTCTCACATATTTCTAAATGGTGTTGTAAGTACAAGGAATTGTTAGTGAGAACCATTGTCATTTCTCAGACTTTGCATTATATTTTGTCTGGCATGCATAACATCCTAGGAGAGAAACATTCTTAATGTTGACTCCAGTGTTTTAACTTTTCTTGTAGGTGTTCAGATTCTGTAAATCCAAATGTCATAAAAACTTTAAAAAGAAGCGGAATCCTCGCAAGGTCAGGTGGACTAAAGCATTCCGTAAAGCAGCTGGTAAAGAGCTTACAGTGGTGAGTATAGTTAGTTTTAACTTTTGTGTGGGAGGGTTATTATTAGGTATTAAATGTAATTTAACTATAACAAGACTTTCTGTGATAAGATTGGTGAGTGATTTATTTGTATTTGGCTATTGTAATAGTATTCTCACATGATCCTAAAAACCATAAATCTGTAGAATTCTGTAAAGGAAATAAATTCCTAATTCAATTTATGGAAGTGATTTTCCTTATTCTCAAAAAACCATTTTTTAGCTCCTGCAAACAAAAGGGAAAATCATTTAAATGGATCAGGGTGAAGTTAGAAATTACTACTCAAGGATTTTGAGAGGAAGCTAAGACATTAAAGGATTCCTGAATACCATTGAAGGCTCTGATGAGATTTGTTGTAGACTCATTTGTTAGTTTCTGGATTTCCTTACAGGACTTTGAGAGCAGAGAAGTGTGTTGATTGAAGGAGGAATAGTGGGAAGTCAGGGGTGAGGGAATTTCATGCATGAGTGTCCATCGTCAGGTTGTTGTTAACTGAGTTGGTAGAAGGGCCTGGTGAAACTTGTCCACATTTGACCCCTATAAAGGAGGACGTGAAAGCTGCTGCACAAGCTGCCTTTGAAGGAGAAAGATCATTAAACTGTTCTTCCCTCCATGACGTCCCTCTTTCCCACCTATCTACTCCTTTAAGGGCAGTTTCTAAGCAGTTGCTATGAAGCCCCTTCCTGGCTTCATTTTCAACGAATGGGAAGAATATATTTTGACAAGATGCAAAGCCAAATCACATTTTTTTTTTTTTTTAAGATTTTATTTATTTATTTGACAGAGAGAGCGAGAGAGCACAAGCAGGGGGAACAGTAGAGGGAGAGGGAGAAGCAGGCTCCCCGCCAAGCAGGGAGCCCAATGTGGGGCTCGATTCCAGGACCCTGAGATCATGACCTGAGCCAAAGGCAGACGCTTAACCGTCTGAGCCACCCAGGCGCCCCCCAAATCACAGTTATTGTCACAAAAATAATTTCCAGTATGGACAAGAATAAATAGCACTTCAAACGCAAGTGACAACTGCATGAGTGAAGAAAGGATGCCAGTCACAGTCATTTGCTGGTGACCAGTTACCTTGTCATTGCTGAGGTTATTGTGATTTAACAGGTCATGTGTATATAATGAAATAGGTAAATACAGAGTTAGTGCTGTTCCATTTGCCTATCTCATAGATTTGAAAACTAAGAAATAGAACTGTAGTTTTTCTAAGAAACCTGTAGCATTTCTAAAATTGTTTCACATGTTTTAAGGTAAATAGGATTTACTAACTCTCAAAATACCAACTACATTTAGAGGGGACCAGAAAAATTTCTGGGAGAAAATTTGTCATCAAAGCAGCACCACATTTATTTGAAGATGTGTAGTTGTACACCTTTATGCTATAATAGAGGTATATAAATATTGAAATATATAAACATGATAGGTATATAGGTTGAACAATATGAAGTTCTCAATGTTTGACTCTTTTTGATCTATGAAAAGTGGTAATTCATATGGTTCAGCCTAATAGAAAGTTTTCTGCCTGTGAGTCTCATCTAGGAATGGGAAATTAGGGAAGCCTCTTCAGTTTGTTTGAAATCTCCATGATTGTTGTATGACCCTCTGAAGAATGGGGCTGATACCCTCCTCCTCTTTTCTTAAAAGTTACTTGTATATAGATTGATATTTCAGTAGGGCTGTCTTGTATACCTGGTGTGTAAAGAAGTAGTATGAAAACTTTGGCATTTGCTAGGGTCACCCTGGGGAAATCTTAATATATGTCTGTGGTTTGAAACACAACTCTTGTGACAAGGAGGATAAGTTTTTAAGAAATGTTTCTTTTGTATCTCTCTTAAAACCGTATTTTCCCCTTTCTTACAGGATAATTCATTTGAATTTGAAAAACGTAGAAATGAACCTGTCAAATACCAGCGAGAGTTATGGAATAAAACTAGTAAGTCACAAAGAATTATCAGGAATTTTCAGGAGAGATTGTTTTGGGATATTACTTTGAATTTAATGTTTAAATATGAATATTCTTTTCATTGGTTAGCTTTTATTCTTAATTTTCATTTTAATGGTTCTGTTGTAGTTACATCTTTTATGATAAGCTGCCCCAAATTTTTTTCAGAATTGGCTCATATAGCCATTATAAAAGTAATGTCGGGGCTCCTAGGTGGCTCAGTTTGTTAAGCGTCCAACTCTTGGTTTCAGCTCAGGTCATGATCTCAGGGTCATGGGATGGAGCCCCACTTTGGGCTCTGCACTCAGTGTGGAGTCTGCTGGAGATTCTCTCCTCCCCCTGCTCCTCCCCCTGCTCACTCCTCTCTAAAATAAATAAAATCTTTAAAAAAATTGCAATTATTAGATTTGATATTATTTGGAGTGTCTATACAGGGATATAAAAAGATCTAAAAATCTGAGAATAGAGGTGGAGAATTCTTTTTTGTGGTGAGTGTGGCATAGTTAAAATATACACAAAACCTAACATACTTTACATGTTTAAATAATTTGGTTTAGGGATATAAACATTATATTCTGCATACCTTATGAAACGTAATGCTTCTGTAAAATTAAAAAGTACAGCACTTAAGGTGATAATTATATTTCCTAAGAGAACTTCTAAGTGCATGACTTAGGTATAAATCAAGCTATAGGCTACTGAAGTTAAAAGCAAGGATAACTAGTCCTTTTCTTTTTTCATTTTTCTGAGGTAGGCAGAGACTAATGAAAAAAAAAAAAATCCCATATGTAGTAAAACTAAATTCCTTAAGCTAGCTTGTAGATGCCCCTGTGTGTGTGTTTGAGGCCCTTGGCCTTGACTTTTCTTCTCCCTACAGCTGTCTTATGCAGTCTTTAGCCATTTCTAGGCTTGGGTATAGAGGTGATATAGTTGGTTTGTTAATTAGCAGTCCCCAGGGCTCAGAGTCTATCAGTTTTTTTTTTTTTTTTTTAAGATTTTATTTATTTGACAGAGCGGGGGGAGGGGAATGGGAAAGAGCAAAGCAGGCTCCCTGCTGCGCAGGCCCCCTCACCCCCTCCCCTTTTCTCAATGCAGGGCTCAGTCCCAAAATCCTGGAATCATGACCTGAGCTGAAGGCATATACTTAACCGACTGAGCCACCCAGGTGCCCCGACTTTATCAGATTTGAATGGATCATGGGCAGGGCATCCTTTTCATCACCTTTTGCCCAGTCATAGCACTTCAGGGGAGGAATTGAAAAATTAGGGTCTTTGTGGTAGTATTTGTCACCCTCTAAAGCTTTTTATCTTCCTAGACCATGTGGAGAAATCAGAGTCCAGTTTTGGAATTGCATTTTCCACATGGCCTTAAGTATTTTGCCTTTTTGTGTTTTGTTTTTTTAAAGTCTTTCCTTCTGTTTTATAGTTAGAGGAAGAGTTAATTTCTGAAAAGTTGATTTTACAGGTTTATTTGGTAAGGAAATAACACTGATTCAAACTCAGTGATTTCTGAAGAGATTAATAGGATTCTTTTTTTTAATTGAGATATAATTGACATAACATTTGTTTAAGATGTACAACATAATGATTTGATATTTGCATATATTGTGAAATGATCACAGTAAGTCTAGTTAACATCTATCACCACACATTTTTGATAAGAATTCTTATGATTCTAAAAGGCAAACTTGTCAAGGACATTATTAGAAGGTCCTAAAGCATTCCTGTATCCCATTGAATTTTATTTAATTCTGGCCTTTGTTTTCTTTTTTGTTACTATCTGATAGCTGCTTCAGATTTGATTTCCCACAACCCCTATTTCAGTATCATAGGTCTGTAAGCTAATCTGTTGACAATAGTTTTATATTCATTGCTTACATTTTTGAATCATGTGAAGATGTGGACTGAGCAACCTTTGTTAAGATGCTGATGTCAACAGTAGGAGAACTTCAAAAACAAGAATACTGGGAAGAATAGTTTGTATTTTATCCCTCATGTCTCTGTATTTCAGATCAGTTTTTTACTATCAGGTGCTTCTTGCATTTAAAATTTTTCAGTCATCTGGAATTATTGGAAATACAGTGTCTTACTGTTCGGAAAGGATTTACCTGCCACTTCTTTGTTTATTTCCCTGCTGAGTAACTTTAAGGTATAGAAATACTTTTGAATACTAGAGCTTGGTCTTATCAATTTTTGTTGAAAGGCAAAGAAAGAAAAACATATATCTAGCATATTTAGCATGTGTAGATTTAGAGTTGATTTTCTCTTAGACTATTCATACAAACATCATAGTAATACCAGTGGCCCCAGGGGGCCTCCTGGGGAGTCTTGTTAAAATGCAGATTTTGATATAGCATGTCTGGGTGGAGCCTAAGATTTTGCATTTCTAACAAGGTCTCAGGTGATGCCAATGTTGTTGGACCCCAGATTACACTTAAATGTGTTGGGTTTTTGTTGTTGTTGTTTTATTTACTTATTTTTAAGATTTTATTTATTAGAGAGTGAGTGAGCATGAGCAGGGGGCGAGGAAGGACAGAGGGAGAGGGAGAAGCAGACTCCCCAATGAGCAGGGAGCCCGATGTGGGGCTTGATTCCAGAACCCTGAGATCATGACCTGAGCCAAAGGCAGACACTTAACTGACTGAGCTTACCCAGGCATCCTATACTTAAATGTTTTTGACTTAATTTTAAACTGAACAGAAAAGTTGGAGAATTCCTTCATCCAGATTCCTCAAATAACATTTTACTGAATTTACCCATTTTCTCTCTCCCTTTCTTTCCTTCTATAATTTTCTAAACTTTTAAGTTATATACGTAAGGGGCACCTGGCAATACATAATGCTTTTATCCCTAAGTAGTTTAACAGAACTAAAAAAAATAGAATATTTCCTAAAAAATAGAACATTCTCCTACATAACAATAGGGCAGTTATTTTTTTTTATTTTTTTATTTTTTAAAGATTTTATTTATTCATTTGCGAGAGAGACAGAGAGAGAACAAGCGGGGGGAGAGGCAGAGGCAGAGGGAGAAGCAGACTCCCTGCTGAGCAAGGAGCCCGATGCGGGACTCGATCCCAGGACCCTGGGATCATGACCTGAGCCGAAGGCAGACGCTTAACCATCTGAGCCACCCAGGTGCCCCATAGTGCAGTTATTAAAGTCAAGAAATTAGCATTGATATAGTATTATCATCTAATCTCAGACCTGTGTAAGAATAGTACATGCCCTGGGGCACCTGGGTGGCTCAGTCGTTGGGCGTTTGCCTTCGGCTTGGGTCGTGATCCCAGGGTGCTGGGATCGAGCCCAGTGTCGGGCTCCCAGCTCAGCGGGAAACCTGCTTCTCCCTCTCCCACTCACCCTGCTTGTGTTCCCTCTCTTGCTGTGTCTCTCTCTGTCAAATAAATAAAATCTCAAAAAAAAAAAAAAAAAGAATAGTACATTCCCTGTCTCTTTGAAATTTTAATAGTTTGCGAGTTTTTATATTTCATGACATTGATAGTTTTGAAGAGTATGTTTCAAGCATTTGGTATAAAATCCCTTAATTAGCTTTTGTCTGATGCTGCCTCAAGATTAGATTTGGGTATTTTACATTTGGTAGGAGTACTGTAGATGTGATGCTGAGTTCTTATCATTGTGTCCTGCCAGGAGGCATGTGCTATCCATTGGGGTCGTATTACCGGCCATGTTAACTTTGATCATTGATTAAGGTGGTAGGTTTCTTCACTGTACAGTTAGTATTTTATCCTTTGTAATTAGTAAGTATATTGTGGGGAGATATTTTAAGATTATGTGAATATCCTGCTCTTCTTCAGAGCCATAGAATGTAAGAAGTTAGATTGGGAGTGTGTGCCCACACAACCCCCACAGGGGCCGCTGAGCACTTAAAATGTGGTTAGTCTGAATCCAGATTTGCGGTAAATGTAAAGTACATGATTTTTGAGGACTTCATATGAAAACATGAATAAGATAACCTCGGTTAATTTTTATATTATGTTGAAATGACAGTATTTTGGATATATTGGGTTAGACAAAAATCTGTTATTAGATTTTGACCTGTTCCTTATTTTTTACTGTGGCTGCCAGAAAACTTAAAATTATGTATGTGGTTTGTCTTAGTGCTGGTATAGATTCTAGAGTGTATTTGGATTCAGCTTCTCTACACATTTCCCAGAACAGTTGGATTTTAGTGGTTGGGAACATGTTAAAATGATTGGTTCAATCTACCAATATTCATCATGTGCAGATCATATCCCAGACACTTGAAGAAATAGTATTTATGCCCAGAATGGTGCTTTTATTAACGGAGAGGACAAACTAAGAAGGGATAAGTTGCCATTAGTTCCGATTCTCTGTAAGGTTTGAAAAGCATTGGGCTGGTTTAAAGTAGAAAGAATATTTAGTAGCAGTAAGGGCTTTTGTCAAATAAAAATAGAGATATATTTGCTAAAGATAAACAGTGATGTCAGCCAAGAGTATTTACCTTCTTCAGCTGTTTTAGTAGGGATTGTTTTTGCAATGAGTTTTTCATTTAATCCATTTCTAAATGAGAATAAAGGGGAGTGATCGTTAAATCTCTTCTTGGATGTGCAAAAATTTGCTAACTCTTACGAATTTTTTTTGTAGTTGATGCAATGAAGAGAGTTGAAGAGATCAAACAGAAGCGCCAAGCTAAATTTATAATGAACAGGTATGAATGAATATATGTATCAAGTAACTTTTGGAAAAATAATTACTGGTAGAGATCCAGAGATTTTTTTTTTCCACTTTCTGTTTTCACATAACCTCAGAAAATTAAAGGAATTAAGAATAGTATAAAGAACTTTTGTATATTCTTTACTGTATCCTTATCTCTATAGTAAGTTGAAGACATGATGCCCTTTTCCTGAGTATTTTTCAGCGTATATATTCTAAAAATAAGAGCATGCTCTTATATAACTATAGTTAACCAGAATCGGGAAATTAACATTGAACAATACTATTATATAACCTACAGACCTTAGATTTCACCAGTTCCAGGCATTTTCTTTATAGCAACAGAAAATCCTGGATCTTGCATTGCATTTAGTGGTTATATCTCCTCAAGCTATTTTAATCTGGACACTTTCTCATCTTTGTCTTATATGACATTGACATTTTTGAAGAGTACGGGTCAGTTATTTTATAGAATGTTCCTTAGTTTGTGTTTGTCTAATGTTTCCTCATGATTAGATTCAGGTTAGGTATTTTGGCCAGAATATCATAGAAATGATACATAAGAAGGACATACATATTAGGAGGCACATGTTGTCCTGAGTGACTGATCAGTTGGTTAAGGGGTATCTGTTAGTTTTCTCCATTGGAAAGTTTTTTCCCTCCTTTTTAATCGTATCTTAGGGGAAATACTTTGACACTCTGTACAAAGAGTCCCTTATTTCTCAAACTGGTGCCTACTGATGTTAACATCCAGTAGAGTCTTGTCTGAATCTGTTACTATATTGTTGCCAAGTGGTGATTTTTCTAATTCAATAATTTCTTTTACACTTATTAGTTGGCTTTCCCATATAAAAGAACTTTTCCCTTTTCCAATTTCAGAATGTATTCCTTTATTAATTATTCATATATCTGTGTGTATTCAATTATTTATCATTATTTTGATGTTCTAAGTGCCTCACATTGGCCAGTGGGAGTTCCTTCAGGCAGGCTTCCATGTCTTTTTGACAACCTCATCTTTTTTGGGATGCTTTCTTGCTTTATGGCTAACAACATGTGGCCTCATCTTGTACTTCTCTGGCCCCAGCCTAGAATTGGTTCTTTTTTTTTTTTTTTTTAAAGATTTTCTTTATTTGATAGAGACAATGAGAGAGGGAACACAAGCAGGGGGAGTGGGAGAGGGAGAAGCAGGCTTCCCGGTGAGCAGGGAGCCTGATGCGGGGCTCGATCCCAGCACCCTGGGATCATGACCTGAGCTGAAGGCAAATGCCCAATGACTGAACCACCCAGGCGCCCCTAGAATTGGTTATTTCTTTAAAGTAGAGTTACTTATTTTTGATCTCATCACTACTTAAGTGTGTCATAGAAAAGCATGTGCAAACAGCTTTCTGGCTTTAAAAAAAATGAAGTATTACAAAAAGGGAGCCTAAATGTTTGGGAAAGACTGTTAGCATGTTTGTCTAAAATGAATGTCTTATATGTTTTGTGTTCTTACAATTACTGACTTAAAAAAATTAGGTAACACAGTGTATTCTCCGTTTGAGGAGAAAAACATCTAGGCACTTTAGCAATTAGAGATTTACACTATATTTGTATAATAGACATTGATGTCTGAGATTTCTTTCCTTCAATCACATTTCTTCATTCAGCAAATATATATTAATCTCCACATTATTCCCAACTAAGTTAGGGATACAATGAGTAAGTTGGTAGTGTAGAAATCCTATTTTGTTAAGCTTATTAGGAACTAGAAAATAATTTTGAGTTCTCATTGCTCATCTATGTGGCTAATAAAATTTATTTTTATAAATTATGAATTAATGTCTTTTAAAGAAGTTAAAGTAACTGAAAATTTGGCTTTGATATCCTAGATTAAAGAAAAATAAAGAATTACAGAAAGTTCAGGACATCAAAGAAGTCAAGCAAAACATTCATCTTATCCGGGCCCCTCTTGCAGGTAAGTACATTACACAGGAGTTCTCTTTCAGTAGAGAGCTGAAAAATCTACATTGTTGTTGTCTATGTAAATGCGTATCAGTCAACTTTTTATGGGTATTTTTTTATGTAAATACCTCATTTATGATATGACTTGGTTTTTAAAAATATGATTTATACAGTGTATTTCCCAGTTCCAATTTTATTGCATATGGTGTTTCTTTTCCCCCTTCATAAAATCATATTCCATAAGCTAGTCATAAAGATTCGAGTAATAATTTCATAGATTTTGCTTCATACTTGTTTTTATTAAGAACAGTGTTTTGTAGGAGTGGTTTTCTAACTTTGGTTGGAATGGGAATTACTTGGGGAATTTAGTATAAATACAGAGGCCCAGGCCTATTGAGTCTGAGCTTTGGTTCCTTAGTAGCTCTCTGGGTTCTGATACTGATTTTGTTACTCAAGTTTGAGAACTGCTGTTTTGTATTAAAACCTTTTTTGTGTGTTTATGTAACTTGCCTGTAGTCACCCATTTGGGTAGTTGTTTGTGTGCATAGTTTCTTTTGTGAGGTGCTGGAAAACCAGTTTTCTACTCAGCTGGCACCGGACACCATCTGTTACATAATTTACTTATGCAGATTACCTGAAGGGAGAGAAATTTTGGTGAGATTTAGTTGAAGAGTTGATTCCTGAATGATTCCATGCCTAAACTTGAATAAAGGTCAAATTCTGAAACTGCACATTGAATAGATTTATGTAAAAGTCTGAAATAGGTTAATTTCTGTACCAAATTTTATTAAAACAAAAATAGGCAAAATCCTGGATTATTTCATAATTTCATAATTTCATGTATAGGCGGTAATGAACTGACCCCCAAAAAACAGGAATGAACCATTATTTAACTTTTTAGGTAACCCTCTGAGGGGAGGTAATCCAGAGGGCCAGGGTTCCAATCCTAGCTCTTTTGACTTACTGGGCTTACTTAGTGATTTGGTACAATTTCATCTTTCTCTGGGTCTCCGTTCTCTCATATTTAAAATGCAGGTTGTTAGGAGGGTGAAGTGAACAAATGTGTATGGAATGCTTACTTTATGCATGGCATATTGTAAGACCTGTGTAAGTTTAGTTACTATTCTTAAATTTCTTAGAAATGGTTATTTTAGAACATCTAAGATCCTTTATAAAGCGTTGATATGAGTTTGGCAAGGTCACATTGATAGTTTTGTTTTTTTTTTTTTAAGGCAAAGGAAAGCAGCTGGAAGAAAAAATGGTGCAGAAATTACAACAGGATGTGGACATGGAAGATATTTCTTAAAAATCTCACTAACTTTATAAGTGTATTTGAAAATCTCTTTAGGAGACTAAGAACTTCTGAATTATCAATTTATATCTTAAGTAAGGTCACTCAAATGAAAGGTAATTAAAAATGCATCTCTCCTACATTGCTCTCTGTAAAACATTATCCATATTATGGATGTTAGATTGCATCTCCATCGTTAAACCTTCACTGAGAGTTTACATTTATGTAAGTCATGCAAATTCTCTTTGTAAATACAGACTGAAGTGTGGACATAAACCGGTCCTGCCATTTGGATAGTGGCACTAGGCAGATTTATGTGTGAACTAACAACAAAAATTCATGGCTAGCAATATGTAAAATAAATTTTCTTTGCGGTAAAATATTCCCTGTATTATTATTATAGAAAGGGGGCTTACAACAAAGAACTAAACCTGTATGATAATTAGCTGCAAGTAATCTTTTCATTTGTTTTGGTTTCTTAGCGTCTTAGAAGAACATATTGGCCTCACATATTGAAACCTAATTAATTATGTTGGACTGTTTTCACCTGCGCTGTTTTGATAGGCAGCTCTTAATGTTGGGGGTGAGAGCTGAATAGTGTGCTCCTGAAATGGCACTATCATATACTTTCTACTTTGGAGAATACTTAATTCTGAGATTCCTGATTGATAGAACCAGATATATTTTTCCAGCATAGCAATGATTTAGAAGCAAAGGAATTGCAGTGCCTTTTAAGATAGGTTGTGTGGTTTTCTTTTATAAAGCTCCTAATTGTTTTTCGAAAATAGAATTTATGGTTTTAGCATCACAAATTTGCACATAAGATCCTTTTTTCTAAAGTAAGTAACTACAAGTTACTAAAAAAAGTATTAATTAGTGGGAAGAAAATAACCCCCTCCCACATACTACTGAAGCAGGAGATACATTTTTAATTAAAAATATGTACTGAATGTTTAATGTTTTTATATTTCTACATTATTTGCAACTTTAAGGGTCAGAAGTAACTCAGTTTTTTTATATTTTTTGAGGACAGAACTTAGAATAAATTATAATCTTAGGGTTATAAAATTATAAAGAAATGACTAAATTTTTATTTCAGTATTAGTGAAAAAGTGACTGATCACTGAATTCCAGTGTGGCTTTTGCCTTTGTGTTCTTATTTGTAAAATATAGCTCATTTGTAAACAACTTTATTGATAAAACAATTAGGAGAAATGATATATGAAACCAAAGACATTTGTTAAATTACTTGAAGTTTTCACTCCATAGATTTAATTTTGCTTTAATAGAAACATGTTTAAGATTACCTACTGTTAGCAGATTTCCTACCTTGTTAGTTAGCAAGCTATTACCTTGAGACCATCAATTTGGGAAATTGAGCTAAAAGGAAGAACTGACATTGCATCTCAGGTTTGACATCCGGAGAGTTCTCTTAAATGTCAGGAATTCATAGTATTTTGAGACCCCCCCCAGATAGCATCATAAACTATATGGATGCAGATGCCACAGTGTTACCCCTGCAGCCCTCTAAACTTGGTTTTGAGACCAAAAGGGACTGACTTGTCCCTTTAAAATGTTGCCTGAGAAGTGGCATGGTACAATGGTATTGTTTCTATTTGTCTGATTGAGACCTCTGCTGGGCAGTTAGTGTAACACAAAAGCATAAAATTTTCCAGGCACTTTTATATTCTCTAGTTGCTCTAGGGTAATAAAGCACTGGAAGTCATAGAAAAGAAGTTCCTTACACATTTGCCTTACAAAACCCTGTAGGGTAGCAGAAAAAAACATTAAGAAAAAACATTAAGCAGAAAAAAACAAAAAAACATTGGCTGCTTAAGTCAATACAGCAAGCAACTCATCATGTTGGGGTTGTGAGTTCTGCCCCACCTTGGGTTAGAGTATACTTAAAACTTACTAAATCTCATTTCTTAAAAATAGAAAACCTTGAAAGATTTTATCTTGTAGAAAGAAGTTCCATAAGGACTGGCCCATTTCCTAACATCCTGTGAAGTAGCACTCTCTTTTTATAGATGCTAAAATTTTTAGGTAACTTGCCTCTTTATCACACAGAAGATGGAGGAGGTAGCAATTTGTATTCATCCAAGTGCTTGTGTCTAGAAGGGATTTATCCAGAGCCTTAGATCCGGTCTTCACAAGTCCTGCTGATGGCTGTGAGAGAGGACTGTAAGTTACTTGAGTTTTCTCAGCTTGACTGTGCCTTGATTTCTTCATTGGAAAAATGGAAATGATAATATGACTAACCTCAGGATTGTTTATGAGAATCCAATTAGGTGATACATGAAAATAATCATATCAAGGCCACTACCATAGTGGCTGGTGTTAAAATGTTAGCTGTTAGGATTGGCTATGTGACCACACAAAACTCACTCACAGCAATGGGCTTTGCCTCGGGACAAAGGTGGAGGATAATAGTGTTTGGGGATAGATATGGCTAAATTGAATTGTAGACTAAGTGCACTGCAGACAGGGTTGCATAGGGTTTAAAATGGTAGTTTTAGCTTTTAATGTCACTTAGAAAATTCACTTATTAAGAGGATCTTACTCCCCATTCTGTTATGAAGATTGGGAGGGGCAATACATTTCCCCTTTGTCAGCTAGTAGTTTAAACAGTGAATTGTCACCCATAATTTTAAGGGCTAATTTATATAAGGGAACTTATTTTTCCCCTTGTCCCTTAGCTTACACTTTAAATGGAGATTGAAAAAAGACATCAGACTCTAATTACAAAGATTTATAGTGTAAATTCTAATACCAAATGAAGACTACTGCCTTGTAAAAATTAACACTGTAGCCTGCTGAATTAAGTGTTGGTAAGGGGGAAAATTGGTATCAAAAAAAGAGAGAACCCAATTTCAAAGTCTGTAGGAAGAATTTTCCAAAAATCAAGTCTTTTATTTATATGTAACAACATTGAAAAGGTAACTCAAGGGGCGCCTGGGTGGCTCAGTTGGTTAAGCGACTGCCTTCGGCTCAGGTCATGATCCTGGAGTCCCAGGATCGAGTCCCACATCGGGCTCCCTGCTCGGCAGGGAGTCTGCTTCTCCCTCGGACCCTCCCTCCTCTCATGTGCTCTCTCTCTCTCATTCTCTCTCTCAAATAAATAAAATCTTTAAAAAAAAAAAAAAAAAGAAAAGGTAACTCAAATTTTGCCCTGCATGTCTTTATATTGAATATCAGTTAGCCTCATGTTGATTTAAATCATTTGTGTCTGTTGATGAATTTCTTTTTAAGGAACTGACCTTTTCTTAAGAATGTATTCTTATGTTCTGAATGTAAAAATCTCTACCTTCTGGTGCCACTTACTTAAGCCTCTGGTTTAAACTGTTATGCTCCAAAATTTTCCCTGGCTCTTTTATCTTAATTGAAGCCATCATGTGGGGATTGAAGGTGATATTTCTGCTGCATAACCTTCCCTATGGTACCAGTTACTGGATGTTATTCTTTAGCCTATCATTGATTCTGTGGCTACCCTGTGATCTTGCCAGTAGATTCCTTTTTCAACGGTTGTAATCAAAAATCTTGACTAATATCTCCATCCTGTTCAGCAGCAAACCCAGGCAGCCCACTACTATCATAATCTCCAAGGGCACAGGGTTGGTTATCTTATCCCCGGCACATATTAGGTACCTGGTGCATGGAAGATGCTCGGTAAGTGTGACTAAATGGAAAACAAGTGTGTAGCCATATGCTAGCTTTACTGGAGTTCATTTTTTAAATAACCAGTAACTTGAAAGATATAAAGAATAAATTACCAGCAGTGAGCTACATTAATGACTTCAGCATTAGTCAAATCTGCATTGTTGGGAGGACTTGGTGAAAAGCAATGTTTGCCTTAGGTTGCATACCAGATTTTGTTTATGTCTACTTGTTTAGTGGTGATAGATCAACCTGCATTTCTGGGTTTGGCTGGTGCATTTACATGTTAAGAAATCCCAGGAAGGATTGAGCATAAGCTGTTATGGCAGGGTTCTTAAAGAAGTTTTGCCTGTAACTTGCTTTGCTGTTGGAGGAAATACTTTACTTCAGGAGCCACAAGAGTATAAAAATAGAAATAAGGACCATGAATTGGGAAGAATTCGTTACTACTTTAAGAGTACCGCTCCAAAGAATGTTAACAAACCAAAAATCCAAGGGACAGGTTCTTTAGTATTTTTGAGGAACTCAGTTTTCAATTCTTTTAAATGCGTGCTTTAATATATCACAATAAAGTGATATATGTTTAGTTTGCTGCCAAGCCATGCACGCCTAGGAACACCAATGAAAAGTATGCCTTTCTGGTCTGAGTTACTCTACACAATTTTCTAGTGTATATCTAATGAGACATATATTTCCTTTTTTTTTTTTTTTTAAAGATTTGTTTTAGAGTGCACCTAAGCAGGGGGAGAGGGAGAGACAGAATCCTCAAGCAGACTCCCTGCTGAGTGTGGAGCCCAATGTGGGGCTCGACCCCAGGACCCTGAGATCATGACCTGAGCCAAAATCAAGAATCAGACGCTTAACTGACTGAGCCACCCAGGTGCCCCCATATTTCCTCTTTTTTGAAAGCAAGGAATGCAGTGTAGGGAGTGAGCAAGTTTAAAAATGGCCCACCTGAATAAAAAGATTTGCCATTCAAAAGGATAATACAACATACTCACGTTTTGTTAAAGTATAGGTGTCTACCTTGCATTGTTCTCTTCAGTGTTCTGATTCTTCATACTGCCAAACACCAGAGCTAAATAGCTTTTGACTTTGTAGTAATACAATTCCCCCTATTTCTTAGAACATACACAAGAACTAACAGAAAATACATTAGAAGAATATAAAATGGAAATAAAAATTGTGCAGGAGAATACATCTCAAAGGAGAAAATATGCAGGTCACAACCTCTTAGTACCATTGCTCACACATTTGCAAACATGTAGTACCACCTAGTTCCAGAATTGTGAGAATCTAGTGCCAGTTATTATTATAGCCAGGGACATTGCATATAATATCTTAGAATATTCACAACCTTTTAAGTCAGTCATTTTGCAGATGCGGAACATGAGGTTAAAAGAAATTGAATAGCTTGATCCATGTCACAACTAGCAGAGCTTAGAATTAAGCTCAGTCTGTCTGACTCACTAATTGATATTCTAAACGGCATCTAGTATGATGCCTGGCACAGAGTTGGTGCTCAATATATATTTATTCATTCAAAGAAAAAAATCTAACAGTAAAAGAAGGTGTTCTGGAGAATTAGATTTTTATGAAGTAGTTTTTTATTTTGTAACTAGAATGGATCCTTTTTTTTTTTTTTTTACCAGTTCTTCTAGGACTGACAGGTGATCATCTGTCCCAGTTTGAGTGTAATTAAGACAGATTTAATGAAATGTTTTTGAAACTTACTGTCTTAAAGAAATTAGTATAGCAATGCCAGTAGTTACAGTTTAATTTATAATTGTTGGAGGAAATATTCATCTGGCCCTGAAATGTATACTAATCCTGTTATCCAAAGAAAAATTTAAAATTTTACCAACACCTGCTTTTATTTATGAACAATTTCAGTGTTTATAAGGTTTTAAAATGTTTGTGTCTGCCAGGTGTGAGGCATTTGTTTGCCTTATTTAGCAATAAAATAATTAGTTCATGTTATATTTGAGAAGTTTGAATCATTGGGAATTGTATTCATCTAGTTAAAGTTTATAGGACTTAAAATCTACTGGTACTTATC